CTCTGACTATATAATGAACGATAAAGGGAGCCCCTAGGAGCTTTCGTTGGCTCCTAGGGCTCCTTATCACGTGATTTCTGATGGTGCTTGCGCATACGATCTTCAGGTGACCAAGATCACATACTAAGTCGATGAAATCTGATCGTGTTTGCACAAGGCCTAAGCTCTCCTAATTAATCAGTTTGCTACCATCGTAACACCATCAATCCTAATGGTGAATCGTGACAAAATCCTATACAAATCAAAAATCAAAAAGTTTAAGATTATAAATCTCAATGAAATTAATTTCAAAAAATCTGAAATTTTCAGAATTGAGTTATAGTTATATAATAAATTTACAAATCAAATTTTATCGAATTCTATTAATTGGTTGTAAAGTTATTAATAACTGAAAATGGTAATTTTTGGTGTAAAAGGGTGGTCCAAAAGTAGGGTACTAGACTTATATATTTTACAATATATATCTCCCTATCTGTCTATTCATCTATCTATCTATATAAACCCCAACATCAAACCTCCCCTCCCCCTCTCCCTCCCCCATTCGTTCTCCAATCCAAATCCAGAGCCGCCCCTTCACCATCACCACCACCACAACCCCAACCCCAACCCCAATCCTAACCCCAAACCCCAACCAAACTCACTTTACACACATATACATGTACACCTCTAAACCAACATCTCACCTCACATCACATCACAAAACAAATCAAGGCTCATAAGGCGACCTAGCCCTTAACCCCGTCATAACTACCCCCCCCTTCTCAGTAACCAAAACCGCATCTTCAATTCTCACTCCAAAACCAGCGGGTTTGTGTAATTTGGCCGCTTGTGCTGCGGTTATATAGATACCCTATTATTGTTGGAGCGAGCATGTGTTAGTTAGGATTATTTTTTTTTGGTTGTTGGGTTTGGAGCGGGGAGGGAGAAGGAGAGGAATAATTGAATAAACTTGAACTTACAGGTTCATTAGTAACAACTTCTCCCATTTTTAATTTTTCCCCATTAACCCCGTTTAAATAAGGATGTTCGTGCATTTCCAAGCCCAAGCCATGACCTAATCTATGTGTAAAGAATTCTCCGTATCCTTTCTCTGTAATTACTTTCCTAGCCGCCTCATCCACAGCCGAACATGTTTCGTTGATATTCATCCGTTCTATCGCTGCGGATTGTGCATCGTGTACCAAGTGCCACATATCCATTAACTCTTTGCTAACTTTCGATTTCACGGGGAGAATCGTACGTGTCACGTCGCTACCGTATGAATGGAGTGAAGTACCAATATCAACCAGGACAAACTCTCCATCCTGGAGAACCCGCCCCTTACCACCACCATGAGGATTTGCAGCTTGTTCTCCAAAAAGTATAATAGACCAAAATCCCGCCCCAACACCCGCTTGGGTGAAAAGTCCCGAAGCAGCTTCCACAATGGTTTCCTGACTCATACCCACCGAAATACACGTTTGTAAACTCCTGACCAATTGCACCGTAAACTCATTCACCCCCCTCAAAATATCCAACTCCTTCTCACTCTTCACCGCTCTCAAAGACTGAATATCCAAACTCGTAGGAAGCACTTCCACACCATTTGCTTGAAGACCCGCCGCAATCATAAATCTCGCATGTTCATCCAACATAATCTTCTTATAACCCGTTTCCTTAACCAATACATCATAAGCCGACTCCTCTTCTCTCCATTCAATAACACTCTTCTCCTCAAATACCATATCCAATGCCGTAATCCTCCCTATCTCAAATTTCGGCACCAGCAACGACGCATGCCCCTTCTTATCCAAAATAACCAAAAAAGGTCTTTCGGAAAGTTCAAACGAACTAGAGATATTAGTGAAATATGCTGTTGAAGCAGAAGGCTCGGCAATAAATGCATCCACGCCTGCCTTTTCCAACGCGAGAGCAAGTATAGATTGACGTTCTAGGAATTCTTCTCTGGCGATGCGTTTTACATCAAGAAGAGAAGTATGGTGTTGAAGAGAAGTCCAAGCGCATTTTTGAAGAGAGGGAGATGTGAGCTGGAGATCTTGATGAAAGGTTTGAGGTAGGAAGAAGTTTATAACCATTGCTATCCAAATTGCAACAGCGAGAAGCAAGACGAATGTCATGTGATCTATGCAACATCGTCGTTTGTTTCTTGGTTCTGACTGGATCCATTTTGGGTGCGATTGGGGGCCTCCAAAGGGCAGGAGGGGTTCCCGAATATCCTTCTCTGAAGTCATGTTGTGTGAGGTCTTATCGGGATGTAGAGAATGTGGTGCTTGAGGAGGATTGTTTGTAGCCTGTGATTCAGGAGTCGGTTGGGGTCGGGTCGAAGGTAAAAGGAGGAGATACCATTAATGTAACGTGTGTATTTAATCAATTAGTCGTTAGCAGAGTAAAGACAGATTTGGTTGCTAGGCGTATACCGATAATCCTCCTGTCGTTTGAAGGTGTTGATGCAGCTGGACATGTAGTAAAAGATAACCCGGGAAGATGAAGGAGGGTCCGTGCATGACATCATATTGCTAATGGCGCACAGAGTGGTTGGTGTGCAACCAATTAACCAAAGTATCACTCACGAACGACGGCAAGCACTCAAATTCTATGAATACCTATATTTGTATGTGAACCTAGAAAAGGGTGTTATAGACAATAGTTCGTCTTTCTAACACGAAGTATGGTATTATAATCAATTAATATCCCTATCCAAAGAAGTCTAGGCAAGCAAAAAAAACATTCAACACTAATCTATACCATCCTCCTTTCCCGTTCTCCTCTTTTGATATGGTCAACCCTCATGCGCTAACCACGTATACTAAGATTGTAACTACCTGAAAGTCTTCACATTCCAAGCAAGGCATTGACTCCAGGCTCGCTGGAAACATGGATAACATCATGGCTATCTGTAAAGCCATTGAATCTCGTTGCCGAGCATTTGGTGTATGCACCCATGCCCTCAAAGTAGAGCCAGTCTCCAACGTCAAGATTGTGATCAAAACGAATGCTTGCCGAGATACGATCGATGCCGTCGCAAGTGGGGCCCCAAATAGAGTACTCGGTGCCTCCCAAGGTTGCCTGACTTGCGAGAGTGTCAAAGTAAGAGCGTTTCCCAGTACGAAGGACTTGAGCGATTGGGTTTTGATGGTCAAACATGATGCTGGAGAAATTGCCATAAAGACCATCATTCAAGTAAAGCATATAGCTCTTTTCCGTTGACACGGGGTCTTCAACAGTTCGACGTGCAATGACATTGCAAGCAAGTGTAAATGCGTTTGCGACGTAGTAACGTCCAGGCTCTCCAATGATTTTGATGTTCTTTGGCATGTATTCCTCAAGGGCATCATTGAGAGCTGCCGCCATCTTTTCAAATGTTTCACTGCAGAACCCTCCACCAACGTCAAGAGTGTGCATGTAGTAACCATAAGTGCGAGCTTGCTCAAAGACGGTGTGAGCATCTTGAACCGCCTCTCTGAATGCAAGAGGGTCCGAGGCACCAGACCCCACGTGGAAGCTGACGCCGACAACATTTAGGTCAAGTTCTCTGGCTAAAGCAAGAAGATCGCTCGTTGTATCCATGGTTGCTCCAAACTTCAAGCTCAATTGGCACAAGCTCGAGGAGTCATCGGTGGAGATTCGAAGGAACAATTCAGCTCCCGGGAATAGTTTCTTGATCTTGTGCAACTCATCGCTGTTGTCGAATGTCATTTGCTTGACGCCTTGCTTCGCAGCATAACGGACGTACGAATTCGTCTTGCATGGTTGGGCATAAATTATACGAGCAGGATCGATGCCCGTCTTGAGTATTTGCTCTATCTCGCCCTTGGAAGCACAATCGAATCCTGTGCCAAGTTCTGCCAGGAGACGAATGACTTGTGGGTCCGGGTTACATTTGACCGCTGTTCTGAAGTTAGCAAATTTTCATCCAATGATGTGCGTGGAGGTAAAGGACTAACCATAGAAAGGCTTGACTCTAGGCAAGTTTCTCTTCCATCTCATGTGCTGTCTGTAAACCTCGCCTAGATCAGCTACGAAGAACGCATCTTCGTCGCCTGCTTCGCAGGCATCATTATCAATATTTTCCACCCTTTGCTTCAAAGCATTTCCAATTATATTTTTAGGAGTATTCACGCCATTAAGATCAATATAAGCATCTTTAGGATAGTATGATTCTATACTATCAAGATTGTTATTGTTTTCGTGGGTAACAATGGCGGAAGGTGACATATCCTCGTGTGTAACTGAGGATTATTCAATATATTTGTGAATTTTTAACTAGTACATGTCAGTACGGTCGAGGAAATATCAAAATGTAGCCAAACACTGGCAGTGGATGCAAGCTTACCTGTACTTTAAAAGCCCAAGGGGATATTATGGTGGTCTATAACGATCAGATCCTGTGCTGATCTGGCGAGGTCGGCTCGACTCTTCCTCTGCGAGAGGAAGGCCCTTTAAACTCGTCCTATGCGGCAGCTGAGGAGTTTCGGACGAAGACGGGGTGTTGTTAAACAACTCGTAAAACAAACGCTCAACTTGATTAAATTGCAGCAAAAGGAGGTGGTGTGGTGTTGATGATGTGCCGGTTAGGACGTTCGGAGTAATCTTGATCAGAAACTAATATTGCGGCCGTTGGAGCCGTGCTGGGTATTTCGCCTTTGATTAGACCAAAGGCAGTCGAGAGGGAATTTAGTTCTTCGATATCAGAAGATCTGCGACTGAGGTATTAGCAACTGTGTCATGAAATCCCTCATCTGAACGTTTGAGCAATATACGAAGGAGCTTCCGATGACTAGAGAATCAGAGTCTTCCCCTGATGATGGAAAGACAGATACCAAGACTGCATCGCGCTCCAAGAGAACAGATTTTTCACCGGCGGGGTAAAGAGCTCACTTACCAGTAAGAACTTGTCAATATAGTCCACACACAGACTATAATGTATGATGGATTTATTTAAAAACGATGGCAGTAGATGCGCAAGAGCGAGCACAGTAATAAGTGGCAAGTATATTCCACATCCAAAGTTATGTGTGAGTAGATTGTGGAGGTTTGAAACCAGATGGGTTGGTGTTTGAGGGTTTCGCGGTGAGTGACCTCGACCTTTGGCTGTTTAAAATTTTGTATTACGCTAAAATTCTAGCCGATCCACTTTTCCCCCGTACGGAGTAAGTGAAAATACCTCATTATTCTCCCAGATTCTCCCAATTCTCCCAATTTCCCAAGCACAAACCTCGACGACTTATTTTAAATCTGGAACGATGAAAAGATGTAAAGAAATGCCCAAAGTAAAATGAAGTTCAGACGATTCGAGTAATACATGCAGAATTTTAATTAATATTTAATCTATATTCCACCACCACTTTCTAGGTCGGCTGGTAGGTACATCAGTACACTGGTGGTAGATCGGTGGTAGATAGGTAGGTAGTTATTTGTCTGATTTAGGATAATGATAAAGTTCTACAATCTTCAACTATTGCTTTCTTCCCGATTGATCGATATATTAATTACCATTGTCTTTAGGCATTTTGGAAATTCAAAGATTTTTACTGGATGACGTATACACATATCAATTAGCAATGCACCTAATAAATTTCATGCCCCTCTTTTTCACGGGTGACTCGATACAGGACAGGAGAGAGTCAATGCCAACGACCACAAAGGGATGAACCAGACAACCACCAAAACTAGTAAGAACATGAGAAAGGGGACTTCGATCGGTCAGCAATGTTTGGAATCAGGCTGCTCGACATGCATATTAGAAACAGAGCATTTAACGAGTACCTGGGTAAATCTTAAACACAAATAGGTTATTATAAATTTCCGAGATGCACCAGATCAGCGTTGGGTACCAGTACTTCATACACTACTGTATTCCAAGTTGTGATACTTGCTGTTATCAAACGATTTACCTGCTTGTTAAGCTTTAGTGTGGTTGTATGCCTTCACCTCCATCGCTTTTTTAACCACTCTTTGACCCCTTCATGGACCGCCAACCAACATACAAATATCCTCATGTAATACAACATACACAGCCCAGGGTGTATCTATCACGTAGTTCGGGATTTTCCCCTCTTTGCTTTCTACACCATGTCCTCACATCTTTAGTCCGCCATCCCATGTCTCCGGGACCACAGCTCTGAAATAAGATGGAACCATAAAGCTTTAACTCGCGACGTGAAAGTCTGGTTAGATACTAAATGTTGATATTGCGCTAGTCTTCTCCGAGGAAGACGTGACTTGTGATCTGACAGCCATTAAGATGGGACTGCAGACGTGATAATCTGTTCGTAGCGCTGAGGGATAATTGAAAATTAGAGAAAAGAATTAATATGCCTACCAAGGATAAGAATATTTTAGCTTGACGTATTTATTGATGTATTTGAGGAGTCATGACGTTCGAAAGGTGATATGTCATTGCTCATTATATGCTAACCAGATGCCTGTCTAGACACCAGTGATCTTTATCTTTACCTATCATACATACCATTCAATCATTACTATTGTACAGCCCCAAACGCCCAAAATATGCAGCTGAGTGGAATACAACATGTTACAGAACTGCATGTTCTATGATCCGAAAGCGGCATTCTTCACATCTTCCTCGCTTAAAACCTCAGGTTCTTCTTGCGCGAGCCCCAGATTCTTTGTCTCCCAAGTCCCATCGACCCAAGGCTTTTGTTCTCCGAGAAAAACCATATTACCTTGACCGCTTTCTAATGCATCAACCAGGTATTTTTGCGCGACATTTTGCACTTGCTCTTTGGTCACGTCCAACAAACGCTCGCGTCGCTCCTGAACCATCTCTTCTGATACACCGGATACAAATCTTGTCATGCCCTCTTGACTGACCGACTGAGGCGCATCAACGCTCTGAAATACAGACAATTTGGCTTCTTCCAGGTCGCGTTCCGTCCATTCTTTTTGAACTGCCCATTTACCAGCGTTGCGCATGATTGACATCGTATTTTGAGGATTTGGATCACGATAAGAGTAAAATCCAAAAATTCCGTCGAGCCCTCTCGAGTAAGCTCCCCCGCCATAAGCTCCACCCTTTTCTCGGATCTCATGGTGTAAATGCTTATGTGTCAAGAGTTGGGAAAGGATTTGAAGAGGGGCTCCAGCGGGAGACGTGTAAGAGACAGTTGGGAGAGCAAGGCCCCCATAGTATACTTGATACGGCAGAGGGAAAAAGGTTTTGGTGTTTCTCGTGAAATCCGGGAGAGGAATATGTCGAGAAGGTAATTCAGATCTTGGAATTGACGATAAAAATTCTTGGAGAGCGGCTTCATTATCCATGACACTTTCACTCCCACATGTGAGGGCAGTCCGGAATGTGGAAGACCCGGAGAACGCGAGTCGCTGGATGGTCTTGAGCTTGTCGATGACATCCGCCAATCCTTCGGCCTCCGGTCTTGAAGCAAGTGAGGTGGTGAGCTTGACCTGGGATAATCCCCCCACTTGTTCTTTCAATCGCCCATATTGTGTGACACCGGCTTCAGCATAACCTCTGGCATATACGTGCCCCGATGAAGCGATATTGTTAACTGCCCCGTCGGCTGAACCCTGCAGAAGCTGGCGAATGCGAAGTTCTGCATCGGGGCTATCAAAATTGGTTTCAAGAACTAGCTTTCGCAATAATCCAAACATGTCAGGCACATTACGATCCAGGGCAGTCCCGGAAAAGCTCAAGCCCTCAGATGCTGACCTGAAATCTGTAGGAGACGAGGAAGCATGATAACTAACACCGATTCCTCCAGTCTTGAGCTTCATCAAGTCTTCCAATTGCTCCATAGTCATGTCTTTTGTTCCAAGGCGCATTATGGAATCTGTGAATAATGGAATGTAGGCCCGTAAATCCTCGGGTAGGTTTTCAAAAGTGTTGATCGCTCGGAAGTACGTAAGTCCATTGGTTGGTGCTTCTCGCCACTGTACGTTCACGTTGTCGACCTTAGAATCCCTTAATTCTATTTTCTCGTCTTGCCTTGGGATATCCTTGACATGAACAGTAGGGAGACAACTGAGATCTTGAGTGTTGGATTTCCCTTGTTCTTCTAAAAGCTCCAATTCTCTCTTCTCTAGCAGTGCCCGAGCTTCGGCCTCACCACCAGCCTTCTCTGTAACTTCTGCAATCTTCTTTGCGAGACGAGCGGCTTCTTCAGTTACAAGCTCATCCCCATATGTTGTCGAAGGGGTCATTGTGAAGGTGAGTGTGTTGTCATTTAGTAAGTACTTCTCCAACAAACCTTCCAAATAACCACCCTTCTCGAATTCCTTTTGAAAGGCGGCGACGGTGTCGTTCCAGGCCAAGGCTTCAAAAGGATCCACACCATCAAACCATTTAGGTTTAATTCTATGCATCAACGACATGCCAAACTTGGCGGTTTTATGCTTCAAGCTCAACTCCAATTGATGTAGGTAACCATCAATTTTTGATTTCTCAAACCCATTCTTGTGTGCTTCTTGGAAAGTTTTGTGAATCGCTTCCTTGACTTTCGGTACATCCGCTTCTTTCACGCCCGTTAGTCCAGCGGAGAATATTCCGACTTTTCCAGAAGGATCATAGCCACTGTTCGGGCTCCATTCAGTTCCCAAACCAGCCTCGATCAAGTTTCTATAGAGTGGTGATCCATATCCATCCATAAGCAGGGCAAACATTATCGAAAGTGAGAAAGTCTCTAATACATCCGAAGTATCACCTACCAGCCATGAAGTTGAGGTCTTATATTGCATATCTGCATCCACCAATGGATCAATGGGCCCTGGAACCGTAATACTCTGAGGACCAGAGGATAAATCGATGGGTCTTCGTATTTCCATATCTCCCTGGATGCGCTCAAAAGCATTCAATTGAGCGTTAACCTCTACAAGATGATCCGCCAGAGGCATATCGCCGTAAGTAAAAACTTTAGCATTACTTGGATGGTAATGCTCGGCATGAAAGTTTTTCAATTGCTCATATGTCAAGTCGGTCATCTTTTGCGGATCGCCTCCAGAATTGTTGATGGCAGGAAAAATATGGTCTTGAAACCTGATGTAGTACAGATATCCAGCGTCCGACATTTGCCCCTTCATCTCATTGTATACGACACCTTTAAACACCAATTTGCTGTCTTCAGGTTTCGCAGAGTCCCCCTCTATTGCCACTCGTGGGTTCTCGGGCCCTATTCTCCATCCTTCTTGTGTGAAGTCACTCTGCTTTAACAATGGATGTAATGTGGCATCGAGGTAAACAGACATTAGATTTTTAAAATCTTGTTCATTAGTGGTGGCGAAAGGATAAAATGTGTGAGAAGACGCGGTGAATGCATTCATAAAGTTTGACAATGTTCGGGGTAGCATTTTGAAAAAGGGATCACGGATGGGGTACCTACAGACTATTCAGCGCATTCCAAGGTGAGGTGAATGAAGGGAGGCAATTTACTTTTTGCTTCCACATAATGTTGTATGTTCCAATATATGAGGAACTCCAGTATCATCTGGGGGATTTGTTTTAAATCCGATGGAGAAGACATTATTCTTATCTTCTCTAGCAACATGTAAATAATCTGCGCCAGTTTTATCATGCTTCAAATGAAGTGCTGTCAACTCAAGTTCTTGAACATGCTTTGATCTTAAAAGTGTAAATCCATGAAGCTTTTCTCCCGGTTTTGGATATTGGGCGAGTTCCGTAACTCCTTTCCTTGCAGCCTGTCGTAACATATTTTTAAATCAATATGTCATCAAAGACACAAAAGATGAAAGGTAAGGAAGGAGGAGGGAAGGAAGAGAATGATGGTGAGTTAATCTTGTCAGGCGCAAAGAAAGGTGGTTGTTGATTTGATTTGATTGATTGTTCGCTTCAGTGAAATTTCATGTTTGAAAGCCCGATTGTCCGGCCACTAGCTTGTTATACAATCAACTTCGTAATATCTTATTTTGAGAACGTCAAGGTGCAGAGAGGCAAAACCAATACATAAAAACCACCTAAATTTAGATTGCGACGAAGCAATCGTCGCTGATAAAGTTTAAATAGATATTCACGCTGTTTATTAACTATGTCAACTACAGCAAATCCCACTTACGCACCTGGCCCTGCGAATTCAAGAACCACCTCGATGAATGCGAACCATACCCATGCCGAATATCCCAATGGACATCATCACCATAACGATGCTGGAGTTAAGAAGGGAAAACAGAAGAAGGCGACAGATCCGAGTGAAGCTTCGAAGTTGATCGCAGCCAAAATCTCGCAACTGGAACTAGATGCAGCTGGAGAGAAGGATCAAGAGGCAGAGATTGGTTCGTTTTGCCCATTCTAGATACTCCCTCCCAATTACCGATTTATATCTTGCACCAGATATTTTGCTGCGGCGCGCATTACCTACTCGAAATGTGTCGCGGCGAAGGAGAGGGGTAAGCGCTTCGCTTCAGAACTGAATTGTTGTGTGTGGTCAAATTTAGAAAGGAGGGGTGCTGTCCTTCTTGGTTCTATGATATATCAAAAAGTATTTGGTATCATTTGTCCATTTTGGAGAGACCAGAAGACTTATTCACCTCATTTTGAGTTTCCTGCGAGTGCAAATGGAGGGGCAATGTGAAATTAAGTTTTACTAGAAAAAATTGCTAACAGATTATCCTATCAAGAACGCGAAGTGAAAAAAGCGAATCGAGAACTGAATAACCTCACATCCAAAATGGATGATCTTCAGAAAATTGAGACCCTTTCCAGGAGGGTCACGGAGCACCTCGCGGACATGAAGCGACTGGAGCGGGATAACCAGAAGAACAAGAAGCGTGGTGACGTGCTGCAGAAGGAGAAAGACGTTGCGAGAACCGACCTTGCCAAATCCAATACACTCCGAGAGAAGTTGGAGAAACTTTGTAGAGAATTACAGAAAGAAAACAATAGACTCAAGGTGCGCATTTTACTGGGTGCATGCGATTTTACAGATGCTAAGCGGGGTTAGGGTGAAAACAAGACTCTGCATGATACCGAAAAGAAGGCCAAGGAGGAGTGGGATCAAAAATGGGACGAAATGCTATGGCAATTTCAGGACTATCAAGATAAAAAGGACCATCCCCAAACTGTGGTTGTCAACCCTGAAATTGACGAGCTGTAAGTTACCTTCTGCCGCCGGAGTCCCATTACTAACTATTTTTCTTCCAGTTTCAAAGCGAGGTTTAAGTCTTTAATTGACCAGTATGAACTACGGGAGCTTCATTTTCATTCTCTTCTACGTACAAAAGAGCTCGAAGTTCAGTACAACCTTGCCAGATTCGAGCGTGAACGAAGAGCCGCCGAACAGGAGGTCAACCGGGCAAAACAGTTGAATCAGCAGGTCCTTACCTTTTCCAAAACCGAAACTGAGTTACGAAACCAGCTGAATATCTATGTTGAAAAGTTCAAGCAGGTATGACCTACTTTTCTATACATAATATTGGTCGCGTGGTGCTATTAGATGCCTAGAGCTAATTGCCCGTCAGGTGGAAGACACGCTCAACAACAGCAATGACTTATTTCTAACGTTTCGCAAGGAGATGGAAGAAATGTCGAAAAAGACAAAGCGCCTCGAGAAGGAGAATATGTCTTTGACTCGAAAGCATGAAGTTACCAATAAGAACATACTCACGATGGCCGAGGAACGCAACAAGAATACCCATGAAATCGAGGCGTTAAAGAAAAGAAATGATAAGCTAAGAGATATCATCGATCAGATGCAGAGACAAGGACGAGGCCTTGCCCAAGGCATGGCGGGAACCGTGGAAGGAGAGTATGCCGAAGGTGATTTAGAAGGAACAGAGAGCGAGTACGAGTATGAAGAGGGCGAGGACGAAGGAAGTGATGGAGAATACGACGAAGATACAGAGGAGGACCTTCACCCGGAGCCTCCAAGACCCTTTGGGCCTGTACCACCTCCACCCCCGGCCATGAATGGCATGACTGGTGCGAATGGTGTACACTGAGTAAAGTGCCAGGCCTATCAATAACACAGTTTTGTATTAAGACTTCAGTATCAATTCTCGATGCCGCTCGGCATTTTGCGTGCATATGGACTTGCAAAGTATTTCTTTTGCGAGCTAGCATCGAGTCAGACAATCTCACTTTGCACGCATGTATATGTATTAGCAGACAAATCACTAAATAGTCAACCTCGCTTGCAGAACCTAGCGCACAGGAACAATCAATTGTGAGTGGTTTAGTTGTTACCATGTCCTGTCGATGCAGTCTGTATGTTACGAAAGGCGAACTCCCTTTGTTCTCACTCAAGCACATAATTAAGATGGATCTTTGTTCTACTTCTTGTTACGTAGAAAAGATTGTTCCTTTCAGAGCTCTCCAACGTGATCTCTCTCCTATTATACGCATGCTATTATTCTGTTCTAAAAAGGGTTACAAGTGAAACGACATGTTGGTACTTGGAGTCCTAGGCTGAACTCCTACATACTAGGTTACATACAGTTTCGACCTTGCATGTTATGATAGAGGTAGGTAGAATATTTTGCTTCTCATATACTGTTCGATAAGATCAAGAAAAGTTGTTTTTCGTTGGTTTGAAATACTCGTTTCATTGCTTGTTCCAACGCCGGTTCCCATGGTTTAATCACAAGTACTAGCCACACAATTGTTCTGCTTAATACGTGAATGCATATCACTATCAGATAGTTTGAGACGGTTTGCAGCATTGTTCATGTTCGTAATACAAAATAAAAAGTGGAAATGAGACAGTGATATTGTTCTCACCTTGATCTACTTGTTGTCCAGATGTTGGAACAGGGTCGGAATAATGGTTCCCAAATCACTATTTAAGGACTCATCTCTTACCTTATCATCCATCCCATTAACTCATCGAGCATAATCTAAAGACAATTCAAACAAGATTTACTAGCAAAACTTTCAATCAGAATCGTCAGTCAAATCACACGCTTAACCGCTCATCAAACAAAATGCCGGCCGGCCCAAGCCTGCGCAAGATGTTGGGCGACACCGTCGCCGCCATATCCGCATCACCCGCCCCAGTGACACTCGCCCCAGGACAGATACCCAGCCACCGCTCGATCTCGTTCGGCGGCGAACTGCTCGCACTCTCCATCAACCTCGCGGAAAGAAAGATACCCCACACCAACCGAGATGCACAAGTTCCAAAAACTTGTAGAACTCTACGCACCCTACACCAAGACCTGCATGATCTCAGTAACTCTTCCCGATTACGCCTACGATACCCCAAAATCTAACCAAGACCGCACCTTCTTCGACCTCGTCTCGATCCTCAATCGATTCACCCGCGTCGCTCATCTTGAAGTTATCTTTCGCATGCCGTTTGAGAACTTCACGCAGCTCATAGACGCAAGTCATTTCTACAGACTCGATTTCCAGGATTGGAAGCTCTTTACTAAGGTTGGGTCTGAGGATCTCGAGCAAATCCATGTCGGTACGATCCTTGAACGCAGGTTGAACGGTTGGTATAAGATCAACATCGCTGGTATTCCTTGAGGAATCACGGTAGGTTGAGAGGTAGGTGTGAGAGGTAGATGTACGAAAACTAAATTGCATGACAGAATTGAGTAGAGCCCATATTGATCGATCTTCTTTCGCAAGCAGGAGTTATAGTCGTTTTGGGTTGCAATTTCATATCCCCAAATTGAACAATTTTTTTTAAAAATATAAATAGTAAGTTTTCCCTTATAAACATTTGTAAATGACTTGATGACCGTGAATTGATATACAATCTCAAGAGTGACATAAACTTACAATTTCATCATCACCCAAGCATGTGCTCGTTTAGAAGAGAATCACAGATATAATTATGAACTAATCACCACCCAAGTCAGTCTAAAGCGGTACCTTATATTGATAGATAGTAGGTATCAGATAACTAGTCCCAAAGCAGCGCCATGACTTTATATCAATACCATAGTCCATCTACCCACCATAAAACATATACATAACGCCCGTTCGGAATTTACCGGCAATCTCCTCCATCTAGTTCTGCCTGCATCATGCAAGTAAGAATTAGTGCACCAAACCACCTGTGAAAAACGTGCGCCCTGGCAAAATAGAAATCTCCACCAAAGCTTGGATATGGTATCCTTGTAGAAGTCACACTACAGTGCTAAATAATCAACAAGTTAAATATGAAGTTATCCCTAACCCTTCATGTTTATAAAATCTAAGTGTGAACTCAATATATTCTAGTTAACCTTATATCTGATCTTCAATTTATTGAGAATTTATTAATTAATTAACAGATAATTATATTCTCACCACCCCCGCTGCTTTCTGTTCTGTTACGACGGCTACCATCAAACGCCGCGTCACATGACTAACTTAGGGTAACGTGATCTTGAGTCACGTTACGTACCGCTGAGGAGCGCTGGCGGTCCTGACTAGCCATAGGCACGAAGGTCTATATAATCAAGATGGATTCCCTTTGTATAGAGCTTCGTGCTCAAGATCAATCATTTAGTATACTCTACTATTAGTTACGAATTGCATATCATCATTGTCATTACTTAAGTCCCTGCTTGACGCCTAGTTATAAACCACCTCGAGAGCCTAGAGCACTTCCACGTGATCTAGACGGCAAACCTCGTAACATGTTCGTTGAAAATATATTTGATTTTATCAAATATAATAAACTGTCTGGATGTGAAGGTTTAAAGTTTACTTCAAAATCTGTGAAAATATATATACTATATATAGATTATCAAAACAGATTGATTCGGGATATAGAAGGTCTAATAGGGAAGAGTGGGTCTAGAAAGAAACAATGAGAATATTGAGGGGAACAAACGAAAGATATACTATAACTATCAGTGGAAAACGTCAATCAAAGAATGTATTGTCAAAATTTATCATTATCCGAGTATCAATACTATCGAATTCAAAAGATTCGACATAGAATTCCAACAAGCCGAATTTCGAATCACGACCTTGAAACCAGAAACTCCCCTCGAGAATTCTATCTATGCACCCCCCCCCCCCCCCCCCCTAAAGGAGCAATCTCCCATCAAAACCCCAACACCCCGACTACAAAAAATATCAATCTCCCATCCTACCCCTCATATGGATTTAATTCCGCAATACAACTCTATTCCTAGAATTTGTTAAATATGCTAGTAGAAATAATATCTGTATTAGTAATGTTATCGATATTGGAGATGATATTTTGGGGAATCTGTGTGTTGCGGGTGATACTTCCTCAAGAATGTTGTTGCAGTTTTTGAAGCTAGGGCTAATGTTATGCAGCTCGCGGGAAGTGAAAGTATACCAGCAATGCTAATTCTTAGGAGACTCAGAGCAAAGCGGCAGTGAGTATAAGAAAGTGTTGGGGGACCGTGGGAGCAAGTAAGCCCGAAGGATTTGCGATTACATTGTACGTATGTTGAAGTTGAAGTAGTATAGCGATTAAGTGCAGCTGTCTTGACGTGGCCTGTGGATAGAGCAATGTTCAGATCGTGCTTAGACATTCAGAAGTGATGAACACCTTTGTCGATAAGCCCCAGAATAATTGATCCATAAATATTGTGCCTTGAATGAGAAAGAGACAGAAACGGGTTCGGAGTTCGACTCATTCGTAATCTTTAAAAGTGGAATTTTACTGTGAATTTACAAGAAGCTATTATTTGAAATACAATATGATTTTTGCAGAATTCCTAAATGAAAAAAATAACACGTATGGAAATCAAATTCCAACCTTGACTTGCAGCAATTCAAAGCCCAAGAACTCCTTGGTTCTCGAGATTGAAAAAAGCACGCAAGTACGGTACTACAAATGTAAATGCTGGGACCACCCCTAATCACTCTAATCACTGATATGGCACCCAACCAATCTCGTTGATAGGAATCTGAACCCATTGTTTGTGTTCTTCATCTAAATATTTGTAGATGTTGGCCATTAGATGATTGCTCCATCCTTCTATCCACCACAGATTCTCTAACTTTTTGAAACACACAGATGAATATGCAAGAATTGCTAACGCTTCTTGGGTGCCCCCTTTTAAACGAGCCATGTATTCGTCAGATAGACGAAATAGCCAGATGAAAATGTCACCCGCCTCGTATTTTTCGGCTGGACACTTGTACATAAACCTGTATGAAAGTTCGAGCTCATAAATCGCATCAGTATATATCCGTAATTCGTCCTCATTGTGTACCGTAGTCTCAATTGCATTTCTCAGATGGCTTAAATGCACAGTGTCGTCTCCGGCACATGTTTGACGTAACTGGACTCTGTCATCTCGGGCTTTAAATAATAAAGCCAAAGGCCCGGACACAAGTATATCTTTGAATTGATCGATGATTGCAGTCACCCCTTTAAATATTACGAGCCACGAGGTAATCCCATTCTCGCCAACGACTACAAATTCGTCAACGCTGCGAGGTCGACCTAATGTATGCATTCCTGTGACTATTGAGAAGATGTGAAGAGCCGCACAAGTTTCGACGGTAATATCTGAAAGAAACGCGGTGCCTTGGCGGAGGGCCGCTTGATGTTGTTGCATTGAATAATCATTCAGTTGTCGACTCCGGTCAGGCGTGCTGCGAGCCATATGGAGGGCCGACAGAGCGAGAAGCGCACGCATGACGAATTCGTGACTTAACGCAATCTCGATAGCCGTAGTTTGCCATAGTTCTTTCGCTTCCGGACTGGAGTTGATTGAGATGCTTGTCGATTTACAAAAGTGGTTGAAGATCTCCAAATCCAAAAGGTTGAGGCACAGATCATGGCCTTCGGCAGTCCGGCTCAAACTATCGCTTGGAACAGAAGCTGAAGCTGAAGATCCGGGAGAGGCGCTTGGTGTTTTCTTCGCTGCGGCTGCTGCATTTGCCCGTGAGTAATCACATGGTATTGAATGCTTGAGACAATTCAGGCAGCTAGGTTTTCCTTCACCGCACTAATAGATGAGTCAGCCACTGTTGAGCTGAGGTCAATAGCACATCAGCTAGTGAGGACAACGAGGCAATTGAGGCTAAAGATGCACACTATCAGATGGAATGCTCCGTAGTGCTTGAATTTAATTATAGATATGGGGCCTACCTATGTGTGTGTGTGTGTGTTCTTACTTAGGTAGAGACATGTAAAACGGGTCTGTTAATGGTTGCTTCGACTAACCTTAATCTTTCTCCTCTTGCAGTTATTGCACCCTGTCCTCGTCTTTCGATGAGAGCGACGAGAAGAACTGAACATCATATCGGGTCTCGTGACATCATTATCCATCCTCATGCAGATCGAGGTTATGATGAATCCACTTTGGAGTCTGAAAACCGCAAAAGAGCAGACTCTTGAGAGCTAGATATTAGCGGGGAAACTCGGCGTTGGCGCGATGCGGATCTCCGGGTGTCAGTCTTCTCTTTTCTGTCCATAGATTCTCCAACGCAACTCGTGTATGCCACAAAATATCTTGGCTCAAAATGTGGTGTAGGTATTGATGTTGATACGATGAATAGCTGTTAACAACGAGTAACTTGCGGTTGGGCGGTTTTGGTAGAGGTGGTAAGCAAAGCCCGGAACAAGGGAATAGGTATAGTAATTGATGGCGGTAGGTTGGAAGAGACGATCCTTTTTAGTTTGCTTGAGTACTATGAGACAGCTGGATACTGGAACTATCGAGACGGCTTTGCAATCTTGTAATGGGAATGAAACAGTTGTCCTTCTATCCAGCCAGTGAACATTGTAATTGAGTTACAGTCAGCGCCCATGGACAAGTTCTAAAGACCGAGCGGGGCTGACCCTAAAATTGGAAATGTAATTGTGGCTCGGTGAGGCTGATGAATTAAGTTACACACATATATATATATACTCATGGTCAGTAGATGGGGAGAAGACGGACAATTAGTTCCTTCGGATTAATATCGAAATATCTAACTTAGCCCCCGTTAGTTGCAATGATCTATCTATAGGGCTGACAATTGAATTAATCATGAGATTGAGGCTATTTCGAGATTTCATGAGGAGAATTACGTAATATATTTTGGGAACGGATAACCGGGAAACAGATAACCGGGAAAGTGCTTTTGTCTAAAAGCAGTTCCAACATGGTGAAAGCAAATTGCTTGGCTGGATCTAAACTGACGTCAAGCGGAAGCAGAAATAACTTGGTGATATTGAATATGTAGGCACTCTTATCAGACAAATACGCTATCTTCAAGCGATGTCCTTAATCCATTCTACACATCTTAACATCCTCCGTACAATTCACTGCTCCGTACGTACTTATCTGGGAGTTCCACTTTGGCTAGTTCTAACTTAGAATTAGCCCTTTTAAACCTCGACTCGACTCGGTTGGTGCCCCTTTATCCCTGCTGCCCTTGTGGTTCATGTTTGCTGATTAATGACTGATCGATTTACTACAGACTTATTCAGCATGTCATCTTCACTCTCGACCGTTGATAGTCTGAAAAACACAGCTTCCTCTGCATACGAGACTGTAGCCAATAGCTTATCTGCGACGTCGAAAAATGGCGAGTATGATCCTGCCCAGGACAAAAATAATGTTGGCAAAGATGCACATGGCAATAAGTTTAGAAAGGGCGATTTTAAGGACCAATTGAATCAGGCTGCTTATGGAGGACCACCAGAGAAGGAAGAGAGCTTTACGGAGAAAGGTAAGCAAATAGTTCAACACGGCTGATTTGGCTGAGCTATGAGATCTCAAGCGCAGGTTGCTGATGATGAAAGCGTTGTCGTGGATGCCAGGCATAAGCACACTACAAAAGTCAACTCTGGAGCAGGAACCAGAGGATAAGACTGTGAAGGATGATGCGGTACCACCGATTCGACCCCAACACGATGGGCACATTGAACAATTCTTGAGAAAGCAATATCATAGCAGAAGCGGGGATGGGATACCAAATCCAGGGGAAAGGAATTGACTGTTCTGAATGCTTTGATGGCGACAGCGAAGCTTTACGAACATGTACGACATAACGAAAAATATGGATTGGGAAATGGCGTTCGGAAGAGTGTTGGCTGGAACTTGTCATATCATATGAGATGTCATCAATTAGCGGTGAACACAGCTAAGTAGTTTAATAGACTGCATTTCGTATTTACTTATGCTACAATACACTACGTGTGGATCTGCATGTTTTGCCTGTCAAGTGATTTGTCTCCCTACCGCAAAGCATGGTCAACTTATTCCGGAAGCAACACAATGATTTCGATTCCGCGCTCCGCTCTTCTGATTCACTTGTCAATGATTGATGACGTCGGGATATAATATTTGAAAGTTCAATAGAAACTCCTGAAGATCAGCCCCAATATCGCCCCGATTAAAAACGACCCAATCCACCAGTAGCTGGGGCGCATTTGGCAAATGAAAACAGTACCAACAAATCGAGTCTCCTTTATGTTTGTACGAGGATTAAAGGGGTGTATGTTATAAACCACATTGAAAATAAACTATATTCAATTGGTAAAAGGGACTTTGATTAATAGCATAACACTACTCCAAAATTAATTTAATAAAATCTAATTCATAAAATTTCAAAGTTTTGTAAATAATTATTTACCATTTTAAATATTTTCAATCTCTTTCAGAAAATTTATTTCAAAGTATTTTTTTCTTTAAAAATCTATTAGAGGTTTTAAAATCTTCAAAAGCTTAAAAATTAACATTATCAAAAATTCATCAAAATCTACAAAATTCAAAAAGTTGGAGGAAAGTAGCTTAATAACTATTTCAAAAATTTGAAAGTGCTATATATCGGAAAAAAGACAATAATTTGTGGACCTGCATGACTTATTCTCTTAAAATCTGTAATATGAGGCTACATCCTAGCTATGGGGCTCGGCAGGTGGTGATCAGTTAGACATGGAAGCCATGCAAGACTTCTCGTATTCACTGCCGGATATCAAAATAGACTTGAATCATGATCTTCACGAGATTCAACAAGTGCTGTCCTTAAAAGCTCAGTCTCCCCTTCATTTTTCAAGCCTTCAACTCGGCAGCACTTCCGTTAGCACTTCCTTCTTCAATTTCTTCATTGCGGTACATAAGTTTGATCAGCCGTCTCCACCAGATATTGCATCATCATGCAGCAGAAAAATCCACCTAAAGTAAGTATGCACAGACTAATCTTGCTCCACAGTCTCTCAACCTTGCTATTACGGTTGCGTGAGGTTCTATTGTCAAAAATGCATGTATCTAACACAGTGTCTAGCATGGCTTCCAGTCGATTGTCACCCAGCTCACACTTGGCTTGTTCATACTCCCCTTTGCTTCTTCCTACCCATTTGGCGGAGTAGAGACTCGTGCTTCAAGCATTCAAGACTGTTTGACTCAGAACTCTGTGCCATATCAAGATAGCACTTCATCTTCGTGGGCTACGACAATTTCTCCTTATAACCTTCGTTTGCAATACACCCCGGCCGTCGTTACTTTACCTACCACCTCGCAACATGTCAGCGATGCCATTGTCTGTGCGGCCGCAGCTGGACTCAAGGTCCAAGCGAAGTCAGGTGGACATTCATATGCTAGCTACTCAACTGGTGGTAAAGACGGAAGCGTCATCATAAGTCTTGAAAACTTCAATTCCATCAGTGTTGATACCGGTAAGTTCAATTGATATACTACCTGCGATAGTGAGCGATTCTAATCAATATACTCTAGAAACCAACATTGCTACAGTTGGAGGAGGTGTACGATTAGGTAACCTTGCTCTTGGAATCTATAGTCAGGGTAAGCGAGCTCTCCCGCACGGGACATGTCCAGGGGTTGGAATAGGGGGCCATTTCACACATGGAGGTTACGGATACGCATCTCGACTCTGGGGTTTAGCTCTGGATACTATCGTTGGTCTCGATGTAGTCCTTGCCAATGGAACTCAGATCCACACCACTGCCTCAGCTTATCCTGATATCTTCTACGCAATGAGGGGAGCCGGTGACTCTTTTGGCATCGCTATAGCCTTCTATCTCCAAACCTTCGCGGCTCCATCCTCCGTTCTTACCTTCTCAGCTAGTATTCCTGCAACACTAGATAGTGTCAGCACTGCTGTTTCATCCTTCACTAAACTCCAGGAATTTACTCTCGACTCCACCCGGATCTATAACAATATCACACTTGGTATCTATACCGATAACTATGGATCTTTCAGCCTGAGCGGTTGGTGTATGAGTTGCAATCTGGACCATTTCAAAAGCGTCACTTTCCCTGAGATTCTCTCTGCTTTTCCCGCACCCGCTTCAAGCTCTGTTGAGTCTCTAGGATGGACGGAAGCTTTAGTCAGTGCGGACAATGGAGGACAACTCCAGGTGCCATTAACCGGATATGATGCTCACGACACATTTTACGCGAAATCTGTGGTGACAAAGAATGCACAGCCATTAACCAACTCCCAATTAACTAGTTACTTTACCTACATTTTGAATCAAGGAAGAAATGCGCCGTCTCCCTGGTACACTATTATTGATTTATATGGAGGCGCGGGTAGTCAAGTCAATGCGCCTTCTTCTGATTCATCGGCCTACTCTGATCGTGATGCTCATTGGGTTTTCCAAGTAAGATTGATCTCCATAATGATTTGACTATTTCACTTTTAACTAACATTCAACAGAACTACGGATTTACCGCCAATTCGCTGCCACCATATGACGACGCTATAACACCCTTCGTCGACTCTCTCAATAGCGCTCTTTCAGCTGGTACATCCACTGACTTTGGGGCATACCTCAACTATGTGGATCCACAACTAAGTGCAACCGATGCCGCAATGCTTGGCTATGGACAAAGCACTTACAATAAATTACTGAGCATCAAAAAAGCCGTTGATCCCAACGAAGTGTTCTGGAATCCACAAAGTATTGGTGCTGCCGACGATACTGATAGTACCAGCAATGGTAGTAGCGGAACAACAACTTCAACTACGCCAACATCTACATCCACAACATCAAAACCTAGTGCAACATCACCATTGAAGGTTTCAACAAATGCGTCGTGTGGCAATGGGTACACGTGTAAAGGAAGTTCGTTTGGTGATTGCTGTTCGTCGTATGGCTGGTGTGGTAGCACGACTACGTACTGTGGATCGGGCTGTCAGAGCGGATTCGGAACTTGCTCGTGAGAAGTAAGTCTTATGACATTTTTGGAGTTGATTGGCATAGATGGATACGGGATATGGTAATCATGTGATTTAGCTAGCGAATGCACTAGTGTCTGTACAGTAGTATTAAATTGGACAGATAATTTTGATTAACTTCATCGTTTTCATGGTGATGCTAACAAGTTAGAAGCTGGAAAATTAAGTGAAGAAAAAGGTCTAGATAGATAGATGCCGCTAGGCATATGAGGTATGAATGGTGTCTAAGGAGATCATGATTGACATAATGTTTGGATGATGAGATATAGTATTTGGGAATATGACCCTTAGAAACGAACTAGAAAGTGATAATATCTTAAACTCTTCATGACTTTACATGAAATATTTTGATATTATGTTCAAAAGTTCAAATGGATAATGGTCGGGAAATTCTTCTCCCGACCAGGACTAGCTTACATATTTATGAGTAATATCGGGTAAAGTTCCAAGCACCCCCACAGAAGAAAAGCAAAAATGGTAGGTAATCCGAGATCCTGCTGCACCTTCGAACAAATGTGGGTGAAATATAGAGGGGTACCATTACCCACCAACATTGAATCTACGGAGTATTGATAAGATCTCAGGATGCGAGCTCGGAGGTGGAGCTTCGAAGACTATAACCTGAAGTCATATCACCTTCATCCAAGGTTTGTTCAAGCTGCCTCGCAAGGTTGAGTGTAATTTCCTCCATACTTGACCATTGCCTTTCTCTATTGTCGACAGTCACCATGTCTTCTCCTAACACACCAAATGTGGCCTTCATCGGGCTTGGAGCAATGGGAATGGGTATGGCGACAAATCTACTGAAGACCTTCTCTGTTGCTGGCTTCGATGTTTACGGGCCCACGCTCGAGAAATTTAGATCTGCGGGTGGACACACAGCTACGACACCGCGATCTGCGGTTTCCAATGCGAAGTATATCGTCATTATGGTAGCAACGGCGGCTCAGACGCTCTCGGTCCTTTTCGACGACGTCACTGGAGCGATTCACGAATTGCAACCAAATGCCACGATCATATTGAGCTCCACTGCTTTTCCTGAACATGTACCAGAAGTCAGACAGTTACTCGACAATAAATATAATAGGAAGGATGTGGATTTGGTAGATGCACCCGTCTCTGGAGGGACAGGTCGGGCAGCTCTAGGAACACTTGTAGTTCTCGCTTCTGGGCCCGAAAAGTCCATTGAAGCGGCAAAACCAGTGTTGAATGCAATGGCAGACCCGCTATATATAATACCTGGCGGGCTGGGAGCGGGCACAAAAGTTAAAATGGTGCATCAAGCTCTTGCGGGTATACACATGATCATGGCGTCTGAGGCAATGGGATATGCTGCATTCTTGGGTCTCAATACTAAGCAGGCTTTTGATTACCTTACGAAGTCACCAGGAGGAAGCTGGATGTTGGAAAATCGAGCACCGCATATGTTGGAGAATAATTTGCATCCGCATTCGGCTCTAAATATCATGGTTAAGGATATGGGTATAGTGACAGCTGATGGACGTAGAGTGAAGTGTCCACTATTTCTTTGTTCTGCGGCTGAACAGGTGTTGGTGTCAGGAGTACGTTCTGGATTTGGGTTGGAAGATGATTCTGGACTAGTCAGAGCTTATATTCCCACTCAGCCGAGTCTTGTCTTTGAACATACCACAGCCGCTGCGATAACTCCGGACGACCCGAGATTGAAGCTAGTTGAGGATATATTAGCAGGGGTACATTTAGTTGCAGCAACAGAAGCAATGGCCTTTGCTCAGGCTATAGGTCTGGACTCTAAGATGCTATATGATATCGTAAAGGGTGCGGCGGGAGCAAGTGCTATGTTCGTGGATCGAGTGCCAGCCTTGCTAAGTGGAAAATGTGCCTCTAATTCCTCTATTGATGATATCATTGCTCGTCTGGTAAGTTAAAGTCACAAGGATCTTTCACAGTAATGCCCTGCAGATATATGGTGCTCACAACCGGATAGGAGATAGCAATCGAGGAAGCGAGCCGAGTCAAATTTCCGTTGCATCTCGCAGCAACAGCTTTACAAATTTTACAGTTGGCAAGTGCTCGAGGTTTCGGTGATGAACCTGATGTGGCGGTTGCGAAAATATGGGACAGTAAGGTCAAATTTCCCTCGCCTGTCTTTGTATAGGGAGGCAGCTATATCAATATGCCCATATTTTGAGCTTCCACATTCTTAAGTACGCTTCCCTTAAAATGAATACCACAGTTGTTGGCATATAATATTCGGGAACTTGTAGATATAGTAGATATGATGCCGTGGAAGATCTATACCGATAATTCCGAGCTATACTTATGCATTATGGGGAAGAGACTAATAAATTTAGATTGTGCTATGATCTCCTTCAGCTACGGCATGATTTGGCCGCCGGCTAGAAACTATGAAATTCCGAAACTCTATGCACATACCACAAATTGGCAAACCACCACAAGAGAAATGAACTGGTTTCTTGGAATGGGGATTTTGAACTTCCTGACAGCATAAATGGTTCCACTTGGTGTAAATTCCGAAAGTCAGTTGGTGAGTAGGTTCAGATTTTGAATAACTTGGAAGCTTCGCTTTGAAGTAAATACAAACTTGAGGTGCGAAATAAGAGTTTCGATCATTTTACTATTTCCGATCTTTTTTATGCGTTTTACATATCATTCATCATTCGATCGGTCAGAAAGTATACAATTCTGAAGTTATTGTTTTTTAGAGTTGGAGTTATATATATATTTTTTTGATAATACGACTTATATAACACGAGCGTGCTGTGTTCGTTTATAATTTCGAAAAGCCATGACCACATTTAGTTGACGATCTTGACGTGATTACTACTTTAGTATAGTTTACTTAGCTTTCCTGGGCACATCCACCATTCAAGGGCCTAGCGTCTGGGGAAATCATACGCTCTACATATTATCAGAATAGCTTGGAAATAAGTGAACATTCAACCTGTTTGTTTTGTTAAGAATGCCTAATTAATAAAAGTGGAATATTGAAAAGCATTTCATTCTACTAATTATATCAAGGTTTTTTCCCGTAAAATTTTAAACCGAAGTAGGAATATGTTGCAGGCTTCCTGGCCGCACGAGTAATATGATCTCGCGCCGTCTTTTTCATATTCAGCTTCTAAGAATAAGCTGTCTTGGGTAGTCTTAGCAACAGCTAATACATATTGCTATGACCATACGAAGTACTTTCTCGGTTGATGTTGCTCTGTTTGTTAAAGATCTATATCGTCACAAGGAGATATCACTTACCCGGTGGGGCAGGGTAAACATAGACTGTGATTAAGGTTACTAGTGTTGCTGGAAAGTGAGAAACTCAGACGCTAATTAGAGAAAGCAGGTTATCCCTCTTGAAGATTACCATCTGCTAGTACCTGCATAGAGTTTTGGAGTTGCCAAAATATTTCCACGGCACGACCTCATTCTTAGCACTGATCATGGGCACGTCATTGTTTATATAGTTTGAAAAGTCCCAGGCTGGGTTGTATTCACCTCATTCATAGTTGTGCATATTCCTTTCAGTTATCATAAACATGCACATCCAGCATTTATTTTATGCTCTTGCAGCAGCCCATTTGAGCGCCGCTGCTCCAGTTGCGGACGCCCCAGAAAAGAGATCAGATGCTACATTTGACTATGTGATCGTTGGTGGAGGGACAGCAGGTCTGACGATAGCCTCACGGTTATCTGAAGATGCTGGGACTACAGTAGCAGTAATAGAAGCTGGAAGCTTCTACCAGGTACGAATGTATCAACCAAAAGACCATGCATTGGCTAAACATTATAGGTTTCCAACCCCCTACTGAGCTCAACACCAGCCGGTGATTCGTTCTGGATTGGCTCGAGTCCATCTGATACCAATCCTCTTGTGGATTGGAACTTTGTGACAACACCCCAAGAAGGTGCAGCTGGTCGCTCGATTCATTATGCGAGAGGAAAATGTTTGGGTGGAAGCTCGGCGAGAAACTTCATGATCTATCAGCGTGGTACCAAACAGTCATATCAACAGTGGGCTGATGCTGTTGGCGATCAATCTTATACTTTCGATAGCCTCTTTCCTTACTTTCAAAAAAGTGTTCATTTTACGCCTCCAGGACCAAGTCGTGCCTCCAATGCATCTGCAGAGTACAGCGCTGTAAGCACATTCAGCCCCTTCAGGTTTGACATTTCTCTGCATGATTACTGATTCCAAGTTTTCTAGTCTGCATTTTCATCTTCGGGAGGACCTCTAGAGGTTTCATATGCGAACTATGCACAACCTTTCTCAAGCTACATGGATGGTGCATTCGGCGAACTCGGAATGAACGATATTCAAGATTTCAACACCGGTTCTATCATGGGCAAACAATACTGCAGTTCTACCATTGACCCCTCCAGTCAAAGTCGGGAGTCTTCTCAAACAGCATATTATGATGCCACAGTGCAGAAACGCGGAAATCTTAAAGTCTACTCAGTTACCACTGCGCAGAAGGTTCTTTTTGATAGCAACAAGAAAGCCACCGGTGTCAGAGTTCAAACACTCGGTATTCCATACACAATTAATGCTCGAAAAGAAGTCATCATGTCAGCGGGTGCATTTCAAAGCCCTCAACTCCTCATGCTCTCGGGCATTGGGCCAAAGGCGACTCTGGAAAAATGGAATATCCCTGCTATTTCCATCCTTGAGGGTGTGGGCCAAAATATGTGGGATCATATTTTCTTTGGACCTACTTATCGCGTCAAAGTTCAAACATTAACTAGACTTTCAAACGACCTCATCTATACCGCAGCACAATACGTGGGTTCATATCTTCTCCGAAAGATCGGTCCCCTAACCAACCCAATTTGCGATTACCTTGGCTGGGAAAAGATCCCAAGTTCATTACGAAATGATTTCTCCGCAGAAGCACTCAACGACCTCGCGCAATTCCCCGCCGATTGGCCCGAAGTCGAATATCTCTCCGGCGCAGGCTACGTAGGAGATTTCTCCAGTCTACCCACCACCCAACCAAAAGACGGCTACCAATACGCCACGATTCTCAGCGCGCTCGTAGCCCCCCTCTCCCGAGGCACCGTCACCCTCTCCTCCACCTCCGCCAACGACCTCCCCACCATCAACCCCTCCTGGCTCACCTCCCCTACCGACCAATCCGTCGCCATCGCCGCCTACAAACGCGTCCGCGCCGCCTTCGCCTCTAAATACATGTCCCCCGTGCTCATCGGCTCCGAGTATTTCCCCGGCACAGACATCTCCACCGATGCGCAAATTTTGAAAACGATTCAGGAAACTCTGCATACCGTGTGGCATGCGGCTTGTACGTGTAAGATGGGGATAGAGGAGGATGTGATGGCCGTGGTGGATAGTAAGGCGAGGGTTTTTGGGGTGCAAGGGTTGAGGGTGGTGGATGCGAGTGCGTTTGCTATTTTGCCGCCGGGGCATCCGCAGAGTACGGTTTATGCGCTTGCGGAGAAGATTGCGGAGGGGATCAGGAGGGGGGATTAGAGAGAGAGAGAGTGTTTTGTTGATGGGGGTGGGGGGGGGGGGGGGGGGGGGGTGGAGGGGCGTATGTGGTAATTTGATGTAATGTGATTAATGTAATTGGTGGTTGAAGTAATAGTGTATGGTTGTTTATACTATATTTTATATATTATATAATTAAATATAATTACAATTATTATCATGAAACGATTTAATTACCTGAAGCTTTTACCGCTATTAGGAAAAGCTCTAAGATCTATTAATATTCCATACTTGAGAAGAAGTAGTTGATTATAAAATTTAAATATTGTTTGTTTGAATGTGTAAGTGTAGTATTAGATATTATCACGTGGCGGATCAAACCCACTCGAAACCCAAATCATAATTGGCTAGGTGTAAGGTTAAGGAACTTTATGCTTGCAAAGTAGTGTTCGGGTATTATTTGAAATGCATGTATTTAATTCATCATACAAATGTTAAACGTCCAAATATCATCGGTGAAAACTTATGTTCGTAAGTCTGGTAGCTCATTAAACTTGTTCTGTTTATTCTTCTCACATCCTAAACCCCTATTCTTCATCTTCCTGTACAGCTTGCTCTAGTGGTTCTCCAGGCTTTGTGAATCTGCTCACTTGTTAGTATGCACGCCCGGTAATATCCCTTTCAGACTTCGGATCAACAACTTACTTCTTAACCACTCTCTCAATACCATCCAAACCCATTTTCAAAGTCTCCATAGTTGGACCATAAGAAAATCGTACAAAATGGTGACAAGGACTATCGAACAGATCTCTTCTCTTACTTGGGTTCAAGTCGAAAAAGATACCAGGTACAACGATGACACGCTCCTCAAGACATGCTTGGAAAAAGTTGAGACCATCAGAGATCGCGGCTGGGAGTCCTTCGAGATCTATAATTTTGCACATTAGCGTTTCGGCCTGTGAATGGTAATCACTTTTGGAAACTCACCCAACCACAAGTAGAAAGTACTGTCAGGCACTTCCTTGATTTTGAATCCCATCTCACGAAGGCGGGAGATAACATAGTCACGCTTCTCACGGAAATGACTTTGTAAAGCCTTCATCTCCTCCCTGACCTTGTTAGGCTCAAGCATAGGGATAGCAGCTTCCTGGAAGGGAACATTGGCACCACCATCAAGGTATGAACCACATGAGCCAATAGCCTTGATGAATTCCTATTTTACCATTAGCAAAGCCCATAATATCGGTAAGGAGAAAAATGTAAACCTTTGGTCCAACAATCCACGCAATTCTCCATCCTGGTAATCTGAAGCGTTTGGTGAGACCGTCAATGATCAAAACATCATCCTCATCCACGTCCACAATATTTTCTGCAGCACTGATGGTGGTACCATCGCAGTCACTGGTATAGTTGTATCCTCCGTAAAATTCATCCATGATGAGAGTAGCTCTGTCTCTGCAGATATCTTGGATTTCGGCAAGCTCAGGGTTCTTGACAACCTTTCCGGTAGGATTTCTAGGATTTGAAGTCAAGATAACAGAGGTACCACGAGCAATTTCTTCCTCGATCTTACTGGGGTGGATGTGGTAACCATCATCCTCTGATAAAGGGGAAGGAATTGCCGCAAACTAATTAAAGTAAGCTTTCAAGAATTCTTTTTCGACTGGTAAAGGTAATAGGGTTGACTTACGTTCTTGAATAATGACAACATCTCGTTGTATGCAGTATAATCAGGAATGAAGAAGCCCAAGTATGCATTATTCAATACTGCAGCAATTCTGATCAACCCAGCACGACCACCTGGAACAATGCACACATTTTCCCAAGTATATTGACTTTCCTTGCCCTGTCTATGGTGGACATTGTACAGGTTTGCGACGGCAGCTCTCAAACTCTTGATACCGGCAGTAGGACCATACTCTCTGCCTGTCATTGTGATGTCGATGCTCTCGGGACGCTTGAAACTACCAGCGATTTCGTCGTCAACTTCAGGAGCTCCTTGTCCAAGGTTTGCCCATTTCTCGGGCTCTTCGGCAAATCCATGCTCGTAGGCTCTCTCGGTACACCAGACTACACCAGTAGAGGCACGGGTTGGATCGAGTCCAGCGTGAGATTTGTGACCTTCGTGGGCATTTCGGAACTGCTTGTGGATCTTGGAGTCCATTTCTAGGTCCATGGTTAGTTATATTTTAGGAAGGAAGACTAAACAATGCGGTCTCCTCCATGTATAGGTAGAAATTTTTGCAAATAATAATATAACTATCTTTTAAATTTCTGCCCCGCAATCCTCAACATTTTATGGATGTTGTCCGAGATTGTGCCGTTGAAGAAAAGCTACTGTTCCAAAAGAAGAGTGCAATATATGGAGGGCGCTCAGTAGCTCTTCCAGGCTGTAGATAGGTTCCAAAAGAGAGGGTGAGAAGTGAAAGAAATAACTTACCATTGGGAGAAGGATCATGTGTAGAGAATCTTCGGTTCATCTTGGACGACAACCTTGGAGTTCCAGTGGTCCTGTTTATGGAGAACTTTCTGTTGTGAAACGACATGTTGTCTTCTGGTATTGAGTATCTCTGATATGATGTTGTTTTGGTTGCTGGAATCAAAAATTCAAGCTCTTCTGCACGTATATAAGCAACGCAGTGGCTTCGTTTGTGCAAGGCTGAGTGAGGTGAAGTGAATGTTTAAGGACAATAAAATGACCGACACAGCTCTCCTGGGATTTATAGGGAAACAAGCTTTTGAGAATAACAGCGGAGAAAGGAGAAAGAGTGGGGGTCAAGCTGGAGAGAAAACGGAGCAGATATAAAAAAACGGGATCGAAAGCAATAAACCGAGTGCAACGGGGTTCGCAAGTCTTCCGTTAAATGCGACGCTGACCCAAAAAAAGAAGAAAAAAAGTGGTCGTTGCGCGACAGACAGGGGATACAAGGAAAAAGCTTGTTTTGATCGCCTTATCGGTTACGGAGCACAGCCCAGGAAAAGGAAGAGGAAAGGGATACGAGTAAACGACGTCGACAACTTACACCGATATTCTTGAGAAATGGCTCATTCTCATGCTGCTTGACGATGTAAATATCAATCGGCTCAAGGAAGGTCTAGTAAAGACTGTAAAGTCCCTCAACTATTGCTAATGTCTCACTTGTGATAATCTAGACTTCGTGTAAAAGCAGCATCCATGCTTAATCCAGGCACGCTCCACTGTAAAAGCCCCGAAGCCCCCTACGACAACCACGACAGCAGTGGACCCAGCGAACATAACTGCCGCAAACCCGTCCGCATCACGAATTCGGCATCTCTGGGATCCGATATCAGAGATTATTCAATAGTGAATCGCTTGCTTAAAATCATCATCACACAGACGATCATCACTATGAGACAAGGGCAAACAAACTGTTTGTTCTTCAAGCAATAACTTATATTGGAAGAGGTATAGTAAAGTACATCTTGATTCTACAGGCGGATCTACGAGAACGGCAAAGAAACTAATAAACACAAGGAAGTGCTGACTCTTAAGAGATATCAGCAGCGGAGGCATCATCCTCCAGCATCTGTTTGAAGGAGAATGGCTCGAACGGTATTCCATCTCCCATGAAATGCTTGCTCATAGCTTCTACCCAATGCAAACGAAGACTGTGCAACATTGCACTAGTACCTTCCATAATAACCAATACGGCAATGGTGAGGAAAAACCAGGCGAAGAATGTGACCACGACCATGAAGACACCTGCAACACCGGTCATATGAAGGCCAATGGAGAGTGTCATATCCCATAAAACAACCGACAGTTGTTGATGCGCAAGGGACAATGCCCATAGACGAAGGTATGAGGCGGTGTGAGATACGCAGTTCAAACAGAATTCTAGGGCATATTAGCAAGCATTTTATGCAACACGAGTGGAAGAAAACTTACCGATAGTGTGAATGACCTGATGGATCATGACTTCCGAGAACTCAAATTCCTCGTGCTCTTCATCTCCAATATCTTGTGTAATCATAGCGACACCTTCACCATCGCTGTTCATACTAATTCTACCATCTAATGTATGATCATCATCATCATCGCCATCAAGTGCGCTGACTCGGGAAGTTTCACCAATACCTCTATAGCCTCTTCCTCTCGCTTTGTTGTGTTCCCATCGAAGATAGAATGGCTTGAGTAGAAGCATGATTGGTACTTGAATGACGGCAATGATAACAAGGCAAATTTGAACAAATCCTTGTCCTGGGTAGAGTTGCTCGTCGATAGTTCCCGGCGACAAGAACATGTAGATCAACATGTTCAATAGACCTGGAGGCGACTCACCGATACCCTGCCAATCTATTGACCATTTGTAGATAATGGCAAACACAAGGTAACCAAAAATAGCCTGAAAGAAAATCATGCCTGGGACGAACACACCCCAGATATCAATAGGAGTCTTGAAGTGACGGGCATTAATATAAGATAGACACAAAGAGTAAGTCATGTGGCACCAACCCATCAAGATACTCAACTTCATCTTGTAACTGTTGGTAAACAATAGGTCATTTTCGGTGTCATGCCACATCCAATCGAGGCCAAAAGGATATCGGTATCCATTTGGCTCCTTGAGATGAGCCTCAATAGAGTCGGGATAATGCTCTGACCAAGCCCAAGCACTTGGGAAGAATGAAAAGGACTTGGAGAATACATCGTTGTAGATGAGACCAGTATACATAGAGAAGATACCCATCATCAACATGATGTATCGACCGTAGAAAGCCATGGAGAAAAGTTCATCGCGAACTTTCTTCAACGACTTCTCCCAATAGATCATAGCCGCAGCTGCGCAAACCATGATAACACCATGTCCAAAGTCACCAAACATGACGGCGAAAAGGAATGGGAAAGTAACGATTGTTGGCAGACCAGGATTGACTTCTTGATATTTCGCTGTACCGTATGCGTTAATAATTGTTTGAAACCCTTCCGTAAACCTGTTTGTCTTCTGGTAGGTCGGGGGAGTTTTATTCGTTCTGATCTCGTTGATGATCGACGGCACAGAAAGGCCTGCTCTGTTGTTAACATCGTGAAGGGTCGATTTTATCAAAGGCAGAGAGTTGGAAGGGCACCAAGCCTCGGCAATCAATGTCTTCCTCGCATGATCATATGAGAACAGGTTGAGTGTTTGATAGACAGCCTTCTCTTTCTTGATGATAACCATCCAAGCAGCCAAGCTCCGTGCAATTTGGGTAAGCTCGGCGTCAAGTGTTTGCTTTGTGTTGCGGAGGACGCTACCAAGATCGCTCAAACGAGTATTGACTTCATGAATTTGGTCTCTGCGAAGATCACTGTTCTCGTCTACGGTGTATAGATCCGCACCAAGGGATTCGGATATCTTCCGGATCTTAGCAATAAGCTCCTTTCCATGTGCAAATATGACGAAAACATTTTTGTTGATGGCTTCGTTATTTGTAGGATCAATAATAGGCTCCGCAATCTCTGACTGGTTCATGTAAAGGTTACCTCTAAGGGTTCTCCACAAGATACGTTCAAACGCTGCAATGCGATCCCGAGGGATAACTCCGGACACGAAGCCAATATTCATACCAGAGAATGACCGCTCGGCGTCCCCATTATGGTGTGATTGTTCGACATCTTGGAGTAGAGGAGCATCGTCGTTATCAGTGGAAGCTCTAATCTCATCCACATTTCCGTGAGCTCGATCGAAGAAAGACCCAGCCTCTCTAAGAACCCATCTCCATTCCGTAAGCTCTACCTCCCTCTTCTTCAAAGTTTCGTAGCTGTCATTCAAGGATGCGATTCGCTGCTCAAGGCTCTGGCTGCGATCAGAAAGCTCGTCGATTTCGGTGGCGGAAGGAGCTGCGACAGTTTCGACGTCGAGGTCTAGTTTCCGGAGGGGAATTCCTGCTTTATCCATCTGGCTATGAAAATAGCCTATGTATTAATCAGTATCGTTGCAATGCGAGGTCTAGGTCAGCACATACGGAGCTGTCTTTCGACATTATCGAGTCGTCTTATTTCCTGAGTAAAAGTCCGCTGAAAGGCAGTAACATCGGAGTTGAGCTGCGAAAGCCATTAGTAGATCATCATGATTTGACATGGTTTCAAACATACATCTCGAAATTGAATCTGTCCAAGCTCTCCCAATGCGTTTACAATTTCGCGTCCAATTTCGTTGGCAATGTAGAGTTGGACCATACTCATGTCCGCTGAGCGGAACATGGTGTCCTGCGACGGTGCCATAATGAGAAGCTTGGGAGTAATCCCTAAAATCTCTTTTGGCAACTCTGTGAAGTTTCCCGAGCAAGTTGAGGCGGGTTTGTAGGATTGGTTTGAGGTTGTAAATGTTGGAAGCAAGCAAGGACATCATTAACGATTGAGCTTCGGGTGTCTTGTGCTGATGTGTCACGTGATAATAACTATCAGACCGCTAGCCCAAGAGTGCAATATCCTGAGTCCAAGATAACTTTTACATTTTTTTGTGTCTTGTAATTCTTACAACTGTGATTGATTTGGTAAATGATTGATAACTGTATATGTACAGGCGATGGTGAATAGGCATTGAAAGTACCTATTTGGACAATGAGGGTATTTCTCGTCTCAAGCCAAAAAGACAATTCCAACCGCCGTCTCTGCTTATGAGGGTAAGACTGCCATTTTCCACCCAATCGTCGTTCTTTCTGAAGGGAACAGCGAAGGAATCCTGTATAAAATACATATCTTATCCTCGCCTCAGTTTCTCAAGAACCTCATTTCCTAAAAGGTTCGAATGGAAAGAACGCCGCAACTATAAAGCCACACACCCACCGTAGCACATACATATATATTGGTAGAACTGGAGTGGCGCTCTTCATGCTAACACCTCTTTACTTTCCATATACTCGAGGAGGCATGACCTCGACTTGATCCTGAAAAGAGAAGACTAAAATTCAAAATTGATAAAACAGCAATATCCATCATAAAAGGACAAAGGTTTAGGTGTGGTTCTATGTGCGAACTGAGTAAGGATAAACATATTCATCATCCTTAATACTCTTGGTACTGTATCTTTAGGAGGTATCTATGATCTATTACATGCCGGTATGAGATTGAAGTACTAGCCGCCTACCTATCTGTAGCTAGTATACTTGAAGTATGCAGTATAGTACAAAGTATAATTACAAGTTAATATATCGCTTTGGTTAATGCTACAGTATTGAAATGCTAATGCTACAGACTGTACCTGCTAGTAACTCGCTAATCTCAGTACCTGCCTCAAGCCTGAAATGGCTAATCGAAGCTTGTCTTTCAGGGCCCACTTTCAATTTCCCTTTCATCGCAATTTCATCAATTGTTCAACATTTTTCAACAACATCTTTCAGCATTGTTCAACTCACCTCCAAAATACATATCAACAAATACTTTCAAAATCTCAATATCATTGATCCGACGCATATCATAACCGTTCTTCCGTCGTTCAAGAGGAGACCATTCATTACACCATATATGATAGCTCTACACGTCTAGTTGCATAGCATAAGTGGATAAAGCCCCTCATCTGGAAGAACCCTGGCAGGGAGCTTAATGCGCAAACAGACAATGTCGCCGACATGAAGCTGGACTTTTTGAAGCTGGGTACTTGGAAGCTGGGTACTTTTGCTTATGGTTCGACTTTCATTATCCTCTACATTATCATAGCAGGTCTGCTCTTCGTTACCCCCCTCGACGCCGTGCTCCAAGCCAAAAAGAATCACCAATTATACAATATCTTTGTTATTGTGTCATGCTATGGGGTTACTCTATTTTTTGGGGCGACCCTCTTCCTAACCAGACTTTGGACAAATAGCCAAGTTATCAAAGCGATTCCGAAAACATGGATACCTGTCGAAAAGGGCGACGTCAACAGGACTGTTCGGAAGATGATTGTGGCGAGTCTGGCACGAAGTGCGGTAATAGCATGGGATTCACGACCGCGAATTGAACATCATGCGACTATAATATCAACGCAAGACACATCAGACGAATCGAAAATAGCTGCGGAGAATGGCCTTTATGAGAGAGAAGAAGACGAGAAAAGGTCGCATGATGCTACAATCGTTATACCACCAAAAGAGCCCGTTTGGGGGCAAATTTCCCACAATGGATGGTCTTCTCCAACGTCTCCGGATTTACCAAGTCTACAGTACATCACTGTAATTCTCGAATTACCTCATTTGATCGAAGCGAAAGCCGTATCTTTAGCACCCCCTGACCCACAGTCGATGTCTCAACCGCCTATGCCCGATCTCCGAGCAGTCGATATTCTTCAACGACCAGCGGCTATGGGTCTTCGCGATTATATCAGCCATCTCTCTGGAATTGAGGTCATCAGTGATCCTTCCATCGCTGCACCTTTCCTTTCAGCTTACGAATACGCTCGATTTTCTTCCAACGCCATCAGCGAAGTCGAATTTCGCGACCTAATGAAACAATTTGCAGAGCTCCTACGCAGCATGGAACCACTAAGTCCCGCGATAATGATGAGCCTCGCTATTGACGATCAAGAGAGCGATATTGATGGCGACGCGTCATCTCGTTCTAGTCTTATTACTTCACAAAGCCATTCCGTTGTATCCTCCTTGAGGAGTGTCAGTATCCACAGTGTCAGGGAAGGAACCATTCAAACGGCACCTTCTAGGAGACATGGCACGGATCATACAAACCTGAATCGGTCTCGTGTCGGCACAGCTCCCGTTACCCCACGAGTCGAAAGGCCAGAATTGTCCGGGCTAAGAAGCCAAAGCAGGGGCTTGTATACTAGCAGCAGCTCAGACTTCAGTATGAGATCCGCAAGCCAAACAAGCGTGATCAAGTTGAGCAGAGTTCAGACAGGAGATTCATTACCTTATGAGATTAATATACCTAGGGGGCGCTAATATCTCAGCCTCCTTTTCTTTATGTTTTATTTTGCATCATTTATTAGCGTTGGAGTTCGGGCTAGAACAAATGGCCTACAATAGGCATGGGAAACGTCTATATATCTTCCTATAATCTTCAATGATAATTTACATCGACTTGTCCACCATATACGAGCTCTCCCATTTGTCTCCGCCTATTTCAACGTCCTATTCCTCAACCTGATCCTCACCGTAGAAAGCCTCTCGTTTTTCCATCACATAAGCCAGCAGGACATGGCACGGATGTCGTGGCGACTCCCATTATCCTAGTCTACCTTGCGACTAAGAAGCTCTTGGATGAAAAGCGATGGATGTAAAATGTTGCTTGTCAAAATCGCAAATGTTTATTCGTTATACAGCAAATGCCTTGCAGTTATCGGATCATCGGAGAATGAGTTTCAACCGAATCTACTTCCGTATGCATCTCAGCTGCGAAAGCGCTGTTAAGCGATTTTGTCTCCTGTGTTGATATTACTAGGGGTTTGTAGTGTTTAGGTAATCCGCATGACTAGTATGCTTGACGGCCTTGCATTGCGCATGTACGATGAAGGATGAACTATGCTATGGTAATGTATAGTCATATGCGGCATTGCTAGGACACTTGCTATAGGGTTCAAATCGTACTTTTTATGCTAGTTGAACATTTGGTAGGCAGCAAAGTTGTTTTCCGGAGTTTAGTCAGCCTCAGTATTAACCATAGCAATATGCATAAATGACGTTAGGAATGGCCTAAGGGCAAAGCTTGATTCGTTAACACCTCACGATGGAGGTTTCATGTGTGTGGTATTTGTATTGTCCGGGGACAATGTAGGGATAAAACGTGGTGCAATCCTGTCCGATGATCTTCTGGAAGTAACATAAACATGGCAGCCATATCGGTCAAGTGTATCTTGCTGTAATACTTCAATCCGAAATGTACTAATTAAGGGACAAATGGTGTCCAATATATTGACAAGTCGGTCGTCCTTTCTGAGTTTGTTAATGGCGTTGTATTTTCTGGGATTGTAAACAGGAAATACAGCCAAAATTTCAACTTTACGCCTCTTCCCAGCATCCGAGTTCTAGTGCCATCATGCCAGGTTACTGCAGACGTGACTCCAAGTAGTATCATAGCTTGCTCTCCTCTGCTAACCAATACTTGTACCTGTGGTTAGGATCGATAGGGTTTCCAGCATACTCTAACGTTCTTTCAGACGAATAATCGCACTTTTGTGGTAATTAGCGAAGAAGAAGTATTTTCTATTTGATGATCAAGCGAGTTGCATTTCGTCTTCGACGTTTTTCCTTTTCCTTTTTCTGTACTAGAAGATCTAGAATGGAAACTGCGTTGAGAATATTATACATATTAATGAGTTATTCTTTCGAATCCGATGTGGTTAATTCGAGTAAATGAATCTTTTGATAGATGGAGGGTTGGTTTCTGTAGATTAAGTATTGGTATGAGCTTTTGTATTATAAGGAAGATTTGTTTAATTATATCTCAAGATATATAACTAAGTATTGATGAATGAGTGCAAGATAAGATTTGAAGAGAATCGAATAGTTTCGCTGTTACTTGGGATTTAAGTGTGGATGGACAGAAAGAGTTTTTAATATTAAATGGGAATCGATCAGAGTTTATACATATCCTTGGGGTCTTATAGTAGATATGTATATAATTGTCATACGTGGTTCGTAGAAATTAATATAATAATTATATTATACTCGAGTATCTTGTAATTATAAAGTATTAATAAATATAAATATAAATAAAATAATCTGATTCTTAAACATAATAATATATTTCAAAACCGGAGATAAACATAATGAATGAATTAGATTAATATTGGATTCAAGGGTTCTGTAACGATACTGTACCGGAGGCAGCGGCTGCCTGAGGTTTCGTCTGATTGGTAGTTGTGGGTTAAGGCTTTATCACTAGTCTTCACTTGGAAGTGAAGTCGTTACTAGATCAAGTAGAATGTAGGTAAACTAATTGATAACTAAGTTGAGCACGAAGCTCCTAAACTATGAAACTACTCTGACTATATACTGAACAATAAAGGGGGCCCCTAGGAGCTTTCTGGCTCCTCAAGACTCCTTATCACGCGATTTCTGATGGTGCGTGCGCATACGATCTTCAGGTGACCAAGATCACATACTAATTCGATGAAATCTGATCGTGTTTGCACACGGCCTAAGCTCTCCTAATTAATCAGTTTGCTACCATCGTAACACCATCAATCCTAATGGTGAATCGTGACAGGTTCTTATAATAAGGTCGAAAATTGAAAATCTTTAAGTAGATAAGTAGAATGAATGAATGAATGAATGAGTGTGAGTAGACAGTATATTGTTACGACGGGTAACATATTTCCGTATCACATGACTAATCACAGGATCAAAGCTATCATGTGACCGGCTCTAATCAATCTAGTTAGAGCCTCTAGAGCCACTAGAGCCAGAACACGAAGGCCTATATAATCAAGATGGATTTCCTTTGTATAGAGCTTCGTGCTCAAGATCAATCATTTAGTATACTCTATTATTAGTTACGAATTTTATATCATTATAATCATTACTTAAGTCCTTGTTTGATGTCTAGTTATAAACCACCTCGAGAGCCTAAAGCATTTCCATGTGATCTAGATGGCAAACCTTGTAATAGAATAGTATATCATTATTGTTATTACTTTAAATCCCTACTTGATATCTAGTTATAAACCATCTCGAGAGTCTAGAGCACTTCCACATAATCTAGACGGCTACCCTCGTGTTACGTCCAAAACGATTAGTATGTCACATGACCATAAAACATGTGATGGAACGGTGAGGAACGAACGTTCCTAGGAACAACCAGGAACGCTCGTTCCCAGGAACGACGATTCCTAGTTAACCATAGGCACGAAGGACTATATAATCAAGATGGATTTCTTTTGTATAGAGCTTCGTGCTCAAGATCAATCATTTAGTATACTCTACTATTAGTTACGAATTGCATATCATTATTGTCATTACTTCAAGTCCCTGCTTGACGCCTAGTTATAAACCTACTTCGAGAGCCTAGAGCACTTCCACGTGATCTAGACGGCAAACCTCGTAACACTGTCCGAGTTCCCCATATGTCCGAGTTCCCCATACGTTACGTTATATAAAATAGTTTTTATGTTTATCTAATATTATATTTTGTGAGCCAAAAGGGTATTTATAGACCAGCAATTGTATTTTAACTTAGAATCTACAGGTGAAGAGCACCTGTGTTACGAGGTGTTACGAGGTGTTACGAGGTTTGCCGTCTAGATCACGTGGAAGTGCTCTAGGCTCTCGAGGTGGTTTATAACTAGGCGTCAAGCAGGGACTTAAAGTAATGACAATAATGATATGCAATTCGTAACTAATAGTAGAGTATACTAAATGATTGATCTTGAGCACGAAGCTCTATACAAAAGAAATCCATCTTGATTATATAGTCCTTCGTGCCTATGGTTAACTAGGAATCGTCGTTCCTGGGAACGAGCGTTCCTGGTTGTTCCTAGGAACGTTCGTTCCTCACCGTTCCATCACATGTTTTATGGTCATGTGACATACTAATCGTTTTGGACGTAACAGACAGGTTGTCACACTCAAGAATACTGGGTAAAGTATCTTGTATTAGAAAATACTAAGCTAAGGAGAAAAGAAGAAGGAAAACAAGAGTAGAGAGTTTTCCTATGATTAAATACAAACGGGGCATGCCACGTGACCCGGAGGTGTGAGGCGTCACACAGGTACCTTTACACCAAATTTTGTATGTAAAGGTACTTAGAGCAACTTTTTATATCTCTATGGATATTAAAGATAATTTTTTTTTTTTTTTGATAGTTAGGTTTAATATCTAATAAAAATACAGTATTAAAGTTACAAAACACTTTTTAATTATATTGTTCTTAAATTAATACGATTTTAAAAATTCTCATAGTAATTTTTGTTAGGCAAAAACGAAAATTTGAAAGAAACTTTAATATCTTTATGAAAAAACTTTATATCTCTATAAAATTTTACTATATTAAATATTTATATTGAATATATCAAACTTCAAAATATCAAAACTATATCTCTAGTATTTCTAGAGATATAAAAAGTCGCTCTAAGTACCTTTACATACAAAATTTGGTGTAAAGGTACCTGTCCGAGTTCCCCATATGTCCGAGTTCCCCATACGTTACGTTATTTATATTTTAAATAATTATTAATAAATTCATGTAACGTGGTTTATCAGCAGTCCGCCCATATAACTAGTCCGCCCACTTTTTGACCATTTAACCACTTCAAATTCTAATTAATCAATCATAACTTATTCAATTGATTCAAACTATTAAGAATCTAATAATCTAGGATCTATTATATCATTTTGACAAGTTCTTGAATTATGACCAGTCTTTCCGCACTTACTACAGCATCGACTAATAGATGATTCCCTATTAGAATTTCCTTCATTTTGACACTCATTGTATTGAATCTGATTATCAATCTCTTATTATGATAATATATCTTCAACTTCTTGTCCAGTAAGTACTCCCCCCATTACGTAGTTGAATTTTTTTGGCGTGTCGACGTTTACTTAATACCTCATTTGCTCTTCGAAGCATACGATTCTCAACACTCAAAAGTGTAACTTCATATACCAATCTCTCTATACCTTTAGCTAAAGCTTGCACAATCGCAAATATAAGTGTAGAAGAGCTTGATTGATGATGAGTCATTCGAGCTTTTATTAGAATTGATTATAAGAGAGCCTCAATTGAATTGTGAGGGGTTTGAGAGATCCAGGAATTGGTAAGTTCCAAGAAGGTAAATGAAGGGTAAAAGTACGAATCCTAATATCCAGTTTTGAGAGTATAGATTAAAGATCGAATAGTATTAGACCTGCTCTTTGAAAACCAGCTTTCATATTCTGAATAGTAAATGATTGCAAATATACAACTTTGAAGATTATAAAGAATTCAACCTTGATAATATAATTGATATAAACTTTGATAAATCCTTCAATTTGACAACTATATAAATATTTAAATACACCAAAACATCTAATATTGAGTGATTGAATTAAATGACTTAAATATAATAATAATCTGAGATATATAATATCATTTGACTTGCAATATGATTGAAAAGATTGTGACCAAAAGGGTGTTTATAGACCAGCAATTGTATTTAACTTAGAATCTACAGGTGAAGAGCACCTGTAGATGGGGATAGCTACTCTATATATACACAAATGAATGGCCTAGCCGCAATGGCTAGGCAAAAAGAAGTCGTATTTATTCCTCCAATGATCTTACTTTACCGATAACCATTGATACCTAGTACTTGTCCGGATCTGATCCTCAGGTCACCTAAATCGCATACTAATCTCGAGTAATCGTATCATGTGTGGACATGGTTAATGTACCTGAGGTTTCTTATATAATAAGGGTGGGAGGAAAGCAGGGATTTCCGTCACATTAACTTTCTTTTGATGACCTTATTGTTATGAGATTTGCCGTCTAGATCATGTGGAAGTGCTCTAGGCTCTCGAGATGATTTATAACTAGGTGTCAAGTAGAGACTTAAAGTAATAACAATAATAATATATTATTCTATTATAAGATTTATTATCTAGATCACATAGAAGTATTTTAGACTCTCGAGATGGTTTATAACTAAATATCAAGTAGGGACTTAAGTAATAATCATAATGATATACAATTCATAACTAATAGTAGAGTATACTAAATGATTGATCTTGAGCACGAAGCTCTATACAAAGGAAATCCGTCTTGATTATATAGACCTTCATGCTTCGTAGCTCGAAGGGAGCGAATGTGACGCCTCACACCTTCGGGTCACGTGGCATGCCCCGTTTGTATTTAATCACAGGAAAACTCGCTACTCTTGTTTTCCTTCTTCTTTTCTCCTTAGCTTAGTATTTTCTAATACAAGATACTCTACCCAGTATTCTTGAGTGTGACAGCGAAGGGCTCGAGAGGCCAAGCCTTCGAGCTCTTCGAGTTCTCGCATCACGTGTTATTACTAATCCTGTGACCTAATTGTTACCCGTCGTAACACTTATATAACGTAACTTATGGTGAACCGGGTCATATGGGGAACCGGGTCACAAAATTCAATTCTCTCTATGTGATCTTGTTCTACGAGCTACACATTCATCCAATTCCAACTCTAAATCACTTGAACTACTCTCTGGCTCTTCTTCTTCAGTCTCCTCTTCTAATTCTTCAATTGGACATTTACGTGGTCGCCCTCGTGGCTTTTTCTCCTTCGGTTTTTCCTCCGCCTCACGTACCATTTTCAGTACTTCCTCACTACTAAAGACAAATTGACCTTGTAATTTGACTCTTTTGCCTTTAGTTCTCTTCTTTCGAGTCTCAATTACTTCCTGAGCATCAGCGAGCTGTTTCCGAAGTAGGGCTATCTCAGCATTTTGAGATTCTACAAGCCTAGTCATTCTCTTGGCATATCGACGAGTTGGTGATACAAGAGAATCATTATCTGCTAGAGCTTTATTAAAGGTTTGATTTGCTTGCCTTAGCTCTGTCCCATCTGGAGGAGAGCTCCTGAGTATAGATAAGTCTAGATCTTGATTGGACATTCTCATTTGTGGAGTAGAAGGTTGCTGGGAGGAGTTAAATGGTAATGAATCGAGTACTTTTCGTAAGGCAAAAGGTACTAAACCAGCTCCTCTTCAACCAGCTTTAATATTAGAAGAATTCAGTGCTTTTTTTCTAATATTTTGAAAGAGTTCTACCCATTCAGCTCTTTGAATTCGCTTTACACCAGCTCGAGAATATCGATCGACCTCTAAAGCATGATATCGTTTCATTGGCCCATACACCACAATATCAAATGGTTGAAACAAATGGGAGCAATAAGGAGGTAATATAAGTAAATCGATTTCCTTCTCTATACAGAAAGCAATAAAGCTGCCTGTAATATGACTTGAATGGCCATCCATGATCAAAAATCGAGGTCGGTCACCTAACACTTTCTTGGATTCTGGTTCGAAAACCCTTTTTAGCCATTCTAATCTATGACTATTTGAGGTCCATCCATTCGTACTCGTAGAAAACTGCTAGCTTTGAGGCGTGTCCTTTGGAATCCATGCAGAATTCGTATTCTGAGCCTTGAAAATGATCATAGGTGATAAAGCCTTTCCAACTGCATTGACACATTCAAATGCAGTTATCCATTCTTGCTTGCCAGCTGTAACTTTCCAATTCGATTTCTGAATAGAATCGATTATAATATATGTACTTTGAGTACTTCCAACTCCAAATCCGGTTTCGTCCATATTATATATATCATCTAATTCATATTTTCGTTCAATGAGATATATACGAAACGTATCAAACCAAGTCTGAATATTCTTCGGAGTTATCTCTTTAGTCTGATTAGACTTTAATTGATATGAATAGCATGTTTTAAGTTCTGGATGTCGTTTTTGGAATCTATAGATCCATTCGTGGCCTATAGGTGGAATTTCTGTCGAGGTAGGAATTCGAGATGACGCGACCTGAACGCGTCGAAGACGAATTTCGTCGGCCATTTCCTTCACCAACATAGGTGTAGCAGGGAATCCAGTGATGGTAAGTCGTGAAATCCATCGTACAAGAGTATTTTCTTCTGCGTTTGAAAGAATTTGAGCCATTTCGTGGGATTGAGTACGTGATTTCCTTCCAGCGACCCTAGCTATGAGAGTTGACTTAGGAACTTCAAAATACTCTGCAGCCTTTCTAATTGATTTAAAGTCCTTCAATTGAAGTGCAATAATAGCATTCTGTATCTTCTCTTCAATTTGAGAAGGCGTAAGAGGTGATTCGGTATGCATAGCAAAATTTGTTGGGGTTTGAAGTCAGTGATGGGCTAAATGTGACCCGGTTCCCCATATGACCCGGTTCACCATAAGTTACGTTATTTTTTTATTTTTTTATTTTTTTATTTTTATTTATTTATAGATTGTGATATTATAATAGTAACTAAATGAAATAAAAATTATATCTTATATAATCTAAAAACTCAATTTAAAAACTCATTTCCCATTCTCAAATATTTAAAAAGAAATCTCTTTTAATTCATAATTCACATAATACAATACGAATACAAAATTTCACACCTTCATACCTACACAAAAAACATAGTCATAATCATACTTCTAAATCTTTCTTTCTTTCATTCATTATACAATTTATATTTATATTTATATTTATATTTATTTACACATACAACTCATTTCCCCTTCACATCCATCTCAATCCACTATCTACAAAACAAACCACTCCCACTCTCCCCTCCCTTCCATTTAATTGGAAAGACATTGCGAATAATAAGCATTCGACGCCTTACAAGTAGTACCAGCCGCACAAACGGTATTTCCAGTCCAATTTGATCCACCGCATTGACCGTAGAGGGGGACGGTAGTACCGGTTGCTGTCGCGGCGGGAGTGGATGCGGTTTTTGTGGTTAGGGTTGTCTGGGGGGTGTGGTGTTAGTTTTGTTTGGGGGGGGGGGGGGGGGGGGGTTTAAAGGTTGGATGGATGGGGATAAGGGTGATAAATGCTACCTAGCGAATTTGTGGGGAAGGGGAACAGCTGGGAATAACTTAAGGGGGAATTATCCCCGAAAAAAGAATTTAGGGATAACTTTCTTGAAGCAGAGTCGAAATAACAACCGGAACACCCGCCGCAGCCGCAAGAGCAGAAATCACATTATTATAAGCAGGATGAAGAGAAAAGTCCGAGTACCAAAGACAAGCATCACCTTGACCACTAAAAGTCGAAGGAATCCACGAATATTTATCCGTGAAATCCCAGACGGTTACACCAACACATCCATCAACGCTAAGACAGGCATTAACGGTATTAGCGTAATCGACACCTTGTTGAGCGAGACCAGCAGTCGTAGGTGGAAGACTCGAGAAACGAACATCGAGTTCCGTGTAGGCGACTTCGACGTTGAGGGCAGTGAAAGATCGGAGAGTAGTAGCGAGTGCGGATTCACTTGGTGTTTCGCCGACGATGAAGTGACCTTGGAGACCAATACCGTCGATTTTGATACCGCGGGCTTGGAGCGATTTGACGAGGTTAAGGGCCGCGGTGGCTTTGGCCCCCGAACTCTCAATGTTGTAGTCATTGTAGTAGAGCTTTACATCTGGATCGTAGAGAGCTGCAGTCTCGAATGCGATGGGGATGTATTCGGGTCCAATGGTGTTGTAGAACTTGAGGATGTTAGTATTATTATCCGTGTAATGTTTTGCTTCGGGACAACAAGAAGTGTTTTAAATACTTACGACAAATGAACGGTAGGTACCATCATCGTTGAATGCCTCGTTAACGACATCCCAGGCGTAGCATTTGCCCTTGTAGTAAGTAACTTCATTTTTAATGCTGCGGGTATCATTAGCTTAAAGCTCAGCCAAGAGAGTGCAAAATCACTAACTGATTCTTCAACACGGCAATCAAAGTAGCATTTGTCCATGTGCCCGAGGTAACCCAGGAAGGCAATTGATTATACCAACACAAGTTATGGCATCGAAGAATTTGATCATTCTTCTCGGCGAAATCCACCACCACATCACCCTGGGTATAACTGAAAGTGTTCTGCGTTGGCTCAATGTATTGCCATTTTTGTGTGTTTCCAGGTGTGATCTGTCCAAATTGACTGGTGTTGGAGAGAATGGCCGTATACTGGGTATCGGTCAATTCTCCATTGTCTGTGGCGGAACCGAAGTATTTGAGACCAGCAGCCTTGGCTAGCGTGTTAAGCTGTCCATAAGCTGAGGGCAAGATGGCAAGAGTCACAAGATTCGAAATATGCATTTTGGATAGAAGTATATGACAGGAAAGGAACGACAAAGAGTGTAGTTAATTCGAATGACCTGACTCGGGAAGGGTGGTGAGAAAAGGATAATGGGGAGTGAAAAGTTTATATATATATATGTATATTTACCTCCCTGTAAAATTCGAGGGGTACATAAACGCTCGCGAATAACCCCATTCTTCAGAATCGGGTTACTTCTGAGCAACATGATAAAATGAAATTTGCCTGTTTCGGATAAATGATCTAAGGGCATGGCATTTTTCCATACTGGGTGAATGCTTAATATATCCGGAGCGCTTATGTGAAGAACAGTGGAGAAACGGAGATGAAATAGGCAATGGGTCAAGTGGATTACATAATAATGAATTTTAAATTAAAGTACTTTGAAGATGTTTGGGATGTTTGAATGCATAGGATCCCTGACTTGGCAAAGATCTCGTCTATCTGATCGAATGTGAAAAATCAATTGTGACTATTATTACAGGCAGGCACTTCAAGCCAAACACTCGGATCCCTCGGATGGGATGAAATAAGCTTTTCTCCATCTTGAACAACGCAACGGTCCGCAACCTTTAAATGAAATTCAACAATGAAACAACAACAATATGGCAAAATGTGATATATTACCCGTAAGGTATGGATAAATTCAACGCCCCATTACCCCGCATTTGATCTTTTGAAGAATTTCCCTCATTTATAGATCTCGGGACGTGGAAGCCGGCGTCAAATGGTGTCCCTTGGCTGCTGCTCCACTTAGAGTCTGACAATTTCCATTTCCATAAATCATCTCCGACTGATTTATCAAGAATCGGAATATTGAGAGAGGGGCTGTAATTATGAAAGTTCATTCATCGTCCACCTCTTCAATATTTAATCGAGAGAGTCTAGAGGAATAACCTGGATGCTCTTGAATAGACTCTCTTTCGGTCGAAGGGCTTCTGGTGACCTTGAGGCTGAGGGCACGGTGGAACGATCTACTCCCCTCGAGATGACGTGTAACGAGGTCAGATGAGTTCTGTGATTACATATTAGCAATCCACCCGAGGCTTTATGAATTTATGAATTATGATGGCAATTTTACCCTACAATAACGTATGACAAGGTATTTTCATCAGCCTTGTCCTTGCTTAGATCAATACCGAGGAAGTAAAGCCTTCTAGCCTCTAATCATCTTCGCATCGAAGTCCTTAATAGCATTTCTCGCACCACTAATGCGATCGGCAAGCGGAACTGGCTCCCGGAGAGCCAATGGAGGCGCCCCGTTGGCGGATGTAAATCGGCTCAAGTTATATGAAAGGGTGGACGGATTTTGAGGTTGTTTCTTGATAGAAGCAGTAGCGTGTGGGACTTCTTCAGCGACTCTATGAAAATAATTAGATGAAATTCGGTTAAATATTGATCCAATCCATTTTGTGAACGGGAAACTAAAAACTTACTTCTCCGATCCATAGTAGCCTTGCACAGAGGATGACAGGGATTGAGGCATGACTATTCAAGTGGTGAGAGACCAAAATTTGGTCTAGTAAAGCCTATATGAATTTGCGAATGGAACTCAAGAAGGATTATGCCTTGACATAAGTCATACGAGTAGGTAGCTAGTTGACAGAGTGAGAAATAGAGATATCTATTCAGAGCAATTCTCAACTATTTGATGGATCGCAACAATAATTATGTTTTCTCAAAAGTCGTGGGGGTTCCTTACTGATTTATAGACATTTTTTCTAATCGGTGACATGAACGACTTGACTGATGACGGATATCTTTTTCTTCTCTCTGGCCCTTGAGAACACTGATAAACAATCGTAAAGATAGAAGCCCTTTCATCATTGGCTATCAAGGAAGGTTACGGCTCGTTCCTTTGCATTTCGTCCCCGTGCCATCGTCTCGATACAACATTTGTGACGAGCTGCCAAGTATTGGGATGGCCTTGGGAAGCATTCAACGGGCATTGAACCAATCGCCCTAGAACCCGGGCACCTTTGCAAATGTTCCAATCTTCTTTACATTCAGCGAAAAATTGTCGTACTTCCGGCCCGGAATTTCTAGATTTGGTTCGGTCTGTTGAGCTCTTGCCCGGCATATTAGGATCTAATTCGCTGATTCAGCAAGTACCTGAGATATAGACAGAGCTGATTCGCTGATTCAGCGAGTACCTGAGATATAAACCAGGCTGAGTCATTTGTTTATTTTTGATAAGTCCAATGGAGACCTAATACAGGAATCCCACGTGTAGATCCCCATGGAGAGCATGACCTATGCAAGAATCATGATCACTTGTACGGAGTACGGTGGTAGAAAAGTGGATTATCATAATGTTAAAGCTATCCACTGTATTAGTTTCCGGCTGCAGGAACGAAATTAAGGGCTTGGAGTAAGGTTACTAGGAGGTGCTAGATGTTAGGCATGTACAGTAGTTACACAGCCAAACAATCGACTACCGGTACTTCTTCAGTCGAGAATCCAGAATCAATTTCCACTCAATGGCCAACTTAGTTGACTGTATGAGTTTTGTAAATATTGATCTTTCCTCTGAGTTGCTTCTTAGCTTGCTCCTTGGTCTAACTCGGCATATATGATATCTCAGGTATCTCTTCTCTGTAAAATCTAGATACTTACATCATATTTTGCCCTTGGTTCCGGGAATAAGAGTTACCTACTGGATATAAGGGTTACGCTACGGAGATTTGTGCCGTGAAGTTTATCTCACTGCATTGGTTCTGTCTGTTGTCCAATCAATTTGCCTATACGGCATAATGCTTGATTTTAAAAATGTGGCACATGTTCTACTGATGCAGGGTCTTATAGTCTAGACCACCACTGTAGTTCTACCGTGAGGGATTATCTATCATGGAATTTATGTGTTAAATCTACTGCATACGGGAATCTAATTATAATTAATCATAGACTGCAATCCGAATAATGAGAGTTATGAAGCTCAATCTCATTCTATGCAGTAAGTTGCCCCGCGCAGGCAAATGCGGGCAGATTTTATGGCATTGCATTGCGCAGGACCTACAAACTGTGGTTCTTGAATGATGAATTTTCAAACAGACCATCGGGTTTAGATCTAGAACTTTCCAAATCTCTCAAGATATGAATCAAGACCACCCAGCACACAAGGGATTAATCAATGCCTATCTATCAAAGGGGAGCGGCTGCCTGCAGAGAACTAGATCGTTCTTCGCGATACTGCGTTGTTTTCTAGATTGATGTCAAAGAGGTATCATTGGACATTGAAGATGATAGGACAATGGAGTTGGAGGGGTATGGTGGCACAATTGCAGGTTACACAGCATCTAGGCTCTGAGTGCGAAAGTATGCATGCATATGACCCTGAAGGGCATCCCAAGGCCATCTGAAAACTCGATGCGGTAGCAATTGGTAAGATTACGTCTGGAGTCTGGAGTCTGGAGTCTCTACTGAAAACAATCGACTGTTCTAGATCTGGCCACCTTATGGTTAATCTTCATGTCCTGTCGTGAAGTTTAGGATTCGCTTAACAAGGTCAAAAATTAATTTTATCTGCGTTGGATATACTTACAGAGTAATACCTACAGAGTAATAGGTACCTAGTTATGGGATGTTGACTGCAAGGGCTGAACCTTTCGAGCAGATCCACAAACCAGATAATTGTCTGCTAGCTATTGACACCCTACGCTTCCGCACCACCCTGCCCCGCAGTCAGTTCCCGCCATCCATAGCCTTATCTACGACATGCCAAGACCTTCCGTCGAAAACCTAGTATCTACCGTCTACAGTTTGATATCCACAAACTATACTAATATAGCAGAAGGTACTAATAGTATACGCGACAAAGCGCCGTTGTAATATCAAAATGAATTTCCCATAACTTTCCACGACCTTTCACTTACAAATCGAAACATTATCAAATCAATCAAGCAATCAATACATGACAACCCAGAATTTGATCGCGATGGCTTGCATTTAGCACGTGATCATGACTTCACAAATGATGAAATGACGTCACATCCACCACTTCATCCTGTTTTCTCTGGCGAACTCAACCAACATATGATAATTATGTATTTGAATTTTTATATAACAAGATGTAAGATTCTCTTCTACTTCTTCTTCTTCGCGTTTCAATAATATCTTCCCCATCAAAAAGCGATCATATGCAAAAACCATAAACACCACCGGAGAAAGAAGAATATCTATCACAAAAAATGCCATTTACACTCAACACCTCCGCATCATTTGCATTGACATCCTCTACCTCATCTGGAGATAACTGGGGCCGCGCATATCAAACCAAGACTACCATCAACAAAGACGGCACGACACGCACAAAACGTACGCAACGATTAGGAGAACCCATTATTGAAGAAACGAGACGATGGGATGGGAAAGGAAGAAGAGTCTTGGAGGATGGGAGTGTGTATGAGAAGAATGGGAAGGGGAAGGGATGGGTACAGGTTCAGGGGCCTACTGTGGTGAAACCGATTCAGAGTGGGAATGGTGGGGGCAATAGGAGGAAAGGAACGATTTTGGGGATGACGTGTGAGCCGAGTAGGAATGTGGTTGGGGATGGGAATGGGTTGGGGAGGAATTTTGGGAAGGGGGGAGTGGGGACTGGGACGGAAAATTGGTTGAATGGGATTATGGGGAAGGTGGCGAATGATGCGTTGGAGAGTAGAGGACGAGGAAGGATTTTGCAGGTGGTGGATAGTGAGGAGGGTGAGGAGGATTATACGGATAGTGAGGAGTATACTAGTGGGGAGTATACGAGTAGTGAGGGGGAGGAAGAAGAGGTAGAGGAGAAACCAAGTGTTAAGAAGAGCACTGCGACATTAAAGGCGAAAAGCAAGATGGGGAAGCAGAGGCAAGAGAAACCTACCAAGACGAAAATACTACAGGAGTCTAGTAGTGAAGAGGAGGAGGAGGATGACGTCGATGATGATGGGTATGAAATTGAAGAGTTAATTTCATCCGATGAAGAGGAGTTTGAGGAAGATGAAGAGGAAGAGGAAGAAGAGAAACCACAACCGAAAAAGCCCGTGGAGAAAAAAACTGCAGAGAAGCCAAAGTTTCCGAAAGGAAAGAAGAGCGTCGCAATTCAATAAAGCTGCAAAGCCGATTTGGAAACTTTTACTGTAACTTTTACTGTAATATTTGATTGACCGACTTGAAGTTTATCGAGGTTATAGTATGAATGTAATGATATCAATTATAAAAAGAGTCAATACCACCTGTTTTGAGGTGACCAATGATTCGCTTGAGAGTAGGTATAATTTTATTCGATGCTATAAGGGTATATTCAGATACGACACAAGACGTATTCAAGATAAATCAAGTCTCGATTGCCAAGGGTGGAAATAGCGCATCCCATGCACATTTACCCAGCGGAACCTGAGCATCACCATAAGAAGGATCAGCGCCTAGTGTCGCGTACTCGTATGTTCGACGCTCTGGTATGACACCTATCATATCCAGGAGTAGAGATGCTTTCTCCGGCATGTACGGCTGAAGGAGGATTCCAACTATGCGGATCGCCTCGGCTGAATGATATACGGCGCTTATGAGTTTTTCTTTAGCGTTTGGTTCCTCAGATTTTGCGAGACTCCAGGGAGCTTCTTCTTGTAAGTATTTGTTAGTCTGTTAATTCGTGGTTAGTATCGTAATCTTTAGAAACATGTGGTAGATGGTGGATGGTGTAGTTACTTCAAATACGGTATCCATAATAACATGCAGAGCTGCTGCTGGGTTCAGCTCTTGCATTTTGTCGTTAGCTTTTGGGCGAACATTATTAAGTAAAGCGATCTGCTGATTGGTAGAAATATCCGAATTATGCAATCCTTCAGAATGTGCGGCTTCTACGCAAGAACGAACATTCCATACTTTTGGTCTGGTCAATCGACTGACAAGATTACCTAGACCTTTTTGCAATCCTTTCTTGTATCTTTCAACAATATATTCATTTCCATAGCTAGAATCTTCCTTAATTCCACCATCATGAATAAGGTAATAGCGCATCACATCGACCCCAAATCGATCCATTGCAAAAAATGGGTTGACTACATTCCCTACTGATTTGGACATTTTTTGGTTGTCCATTGTCCAGTGAGCATGCGTCAAAATTCGCTTTGGTGGTTGTAGATTCAAGGCGAGAAGAAATGCGGGCCAATATATGCAGTGAAATCGAACAATATCCTTCCCGATAACTTGTACGTCCGCAGGCCATCCCCCAGCAGCTTCATTCCCTGGAGCCCACGGGTAGCTTGCTTTTGTAATGTAGTTGACTAGTGCATCGAGCCACACATATATAGTCTGACTGTCATCGTCTGGAACTCGAATGCCCCAACTCAGACGATCGGAGGGACGAGATATTGAGAGGTCTTCTAAGCCTTTAGACACTTGATTGACCACATCCTTCATCCGAGTCAATGGTACAACAAAATCGGGGTTCCTTTCGTAAAACTCAAGAAGTTGATCCTTGAAAGCAGATAATCGAAAGTGGTAATTTTTTTCCGATGTCCATTCAACCTCTTTACCAGTCTCTTGAGAAGCAATGAATGTCCTCCCAGTAAAAGGGTCCAGCCTCTTCTCAATCACGGACTCAGGATAGAAAGTCTCATCACTGACGCAGTACCACCCCTCGTGTTTTGACTCGTAAATATATTCCCGTTCCTTCAGCATATACCAGACATATTCTACTGTCTCTTTGTGATCTTGATCAGTCGTGCGTACAAAATGATCGTTTGAAAGTCCTGCTCGCTGTGCCAACTTTTTAAATGTCTCGGCGCCATTATCACAAAATTCTTTAGGAAGTGTGCCTGCTTGTGCAGCAGCTCGTTGTATCTTCATGCCATGTTCGTCTGTTCCTGTACATAAGATCGCTGTCTCGCCCTTTAAAACTTGCCATCGTTTGAAGACGTCCGCCAGGACCATAGTATATAGGTGACCAACATGAGGTGCTTAGGATGACTCAATTAGCTTAAAAAACTGTACGAAGGGAACATTGTTTAGACTTACCGGCATTCACGTAGAAAATTGGTGTGGTGACATAGTACGGCTTCTTTGGTGTTGTATCTGTAGAGTATCTGACTTTTGGTATAGCTCTTGCCCGACATGAGCTGCAGACCCAGCCAGTCCTCCAAAGTGATCTGGTTTTGGACTGCAAAGAGCCCCGCAATGAAGGGTTGAGTCCATACATTTAAACAAAATGCGCCGACTGAAGCGCAATTTAGCATGAGCTGAGAGAATTGTAAATGATGCGTAAATGCGGTGTTGCGGCCGCATCTCCGCCCCCGCGTTTTTTAAAGCCATTGAATTGCGAGCCCTACTCCGCGTCATTAGATTGAAAAGACAAAGACACACCAGAAAAGCCCGCAAGTGGTTTATTCCCAAAATTCACTTAAGTTCTGATTTATTAATTTTCTTGGATATTCACAACCGCATACTATCTGTGCAAACTACCATGTCCGATCCTACAAAAGATACCCAAATTGACTTGGCTACCAAAGGTACTTTTCGCATGCCTCACTGACAAACTTTCATGCTGATGTACTCCAGCGGCCGAAATATTCGTTGAAAGCTTCTACGAAACATTGAATAAGCCCAACCTCCGCTCAAACATCACATCCTTCTACATCAAACCCTCCCCTCTAGCACCAGCTGAAGCTTCAATAACCATCAACGGAAACCTCATACCAACGCCTTCCGCTTTCCAAGAAACGTTCGAGAATAAAATCGGCAAAACGGCTTATGAAGTCCAATCATATGTCGCCCATGTCATTAACCCAAACTACAACATAGGGGTTGAGGAAAGTAAACTTGGGCCTGACAAGGATGGGAAGAAAATCAGCATTGCCATTATGGTTAGTGGGCAGGTGAAATATTCATCAAAGAACGGAGATGAGGGGGAAGAGAGGGGTTTTATGGAGAATTTTGTCCTGGTGCCGAATTTGGAAGCCAGGAATCCAAAGGCGTCGAAAGGGATCAGAAGGTGGTTGATTCAGAGTCAGGTGTTTAGATTGGTGTTATGAGGTCCAGATTATGGAGATATCCAAATGGGAAAAAAATGGGCAAACGAGACTGTGGGAATCCTATACCCAGTCTATGGAAGTCCAAGGATCTATCCGGGACTGGCATATGACCGTCACAGAATGACGTGCTGTTCTACACCTTAAACGGTGTGTTTCTAGCGGTGTCCAGCGCTTGTTTCTCGGCATCGTTCTCATATCGATCTGTTACTAGATGTACAGAAGACACCATTTACGAAGATCTCGATTGTAGCTAGGTAGCTCGGGGATTTACTATCATATTTTTGAAGTATTCACTTCCAGCTGGACGTCCAGCTGATCATTAAGCTGTCCAACTGTTGATTAGAGGTCCTCCATAGCATTTACCTGATACACGAATCAATTAAAACGTCAAAAACAACTTTACAGACACAGCGCTTGCAAATGTTTATGTTGCCCAGTACACTATTTATTGGATCTAACAAACTTATGAGCATAGGACTCTTTTCCCCAAAGAGGCTCTCCATCTTAGGATGTCCAACGGCTCTTTGTAGTTTCTCACACAAATCGCAACTCACATAACTAACTCTCTGCAAGTATCTCTACCAATATCTGAAACTCGCAACTGTCATATGCAACTCTCGCCTTAAGGATATCATCCCTTTTGTCTTTTTTTTTTTTTTGATTTCCTCGTTAGTTTCTAGATTCACCCAATAGCATCTAACTTTCAACCTCTCTGAGCTTCGTTTCTGTTGCCAAGGTGAAGTATCTTCGTCTTTCTCAAAAACAACTTCCTTCTATCTACAACTCTTCACTTTTGAGCAATATTTCATTGACTTGAAGTATTCTCAAGTTATTTAAAACTTTTCTACTTTGTTGCGAACTTGCAATTCTTAACGTTTATCTGCTATCGAATTTTTTTCTTTAATGATCTATTACCTGAAAAGATTCGAAAAATATCCAGACCCTCTTCGATATCCCTCGATCTTGTCCACCAACTTCTGACCTGACCTTTGATCAAACCTCACAAAAACTCAATATTCTACATATCATCCGTATTTTTAAACACCTCGCACACATTAACTGACAATATTTACAAGGACTTCTCGACGTCAACAGTCATGAGGATCCCATCCGGTTTACTTGGCTTTGATGGAAAGCCTGTCAAAGGAGAAATATGCTTGAAAGGCGGCGGTGACAATGGGAAGCTTCATGAAGAGGGTATGAAGCGGGAAGGTAACCATTTTACCTGCTACGCTCTCACCGCAGAAGGCGATGCCATCACACCATGCTTTAGCATAAACTCAGGTGTTGTTGAATTCGTTGACGTGGTCGTCGATGGTATCTTACGAGCTTCGCATAGCAACGAGAAAGCCACCCAGGCATTCAGCAAGAAATTTGAATGGGTGGCAGGTCAAGTTAAGATACGCAACAAATATGTCGGAAAGACCTACCAGTTACAAATAAAAGAGCGGAACATCAAAAAGGGTGAGTTATCCTTCCTATATAATACCTCAGTACCCTATTTACTAAACAATGAAACAGCACGAAATGTTAAGGGTGGCGCACCTCATTCAGTCGGTAGCATCGAAATACAAATATTCCGCCAAGGCCCCAATTCTCACAAGGCTCACGCAAAGGATCCTGATTCTGATGATACCTCATCATCATCAAGCGAAGAACCCGCGGATCTCGGCCATGATGATCGTGCACCCACGTTCGAAGATCATAGCGAATGGTGGAATCTTAATCCATGTGTTGACGAGGACGCAATCCTTCCTCCGCCTTTCGAAGTTGGTGGCGTGGGCCATAAAAAGCTGCAGGATTCCCTAAGAGATTGCATTGTGAGGAAATGGCCAGGTAACTTCAAGCTTTGGGCCTCATTCCGATTCTTGCTCTTCTCTACTACCGATTTTCACAAATTGGGCTTCCTGAATACCCCGGACTATGAGGGGACGTCGTGGAGTGACATGAAATTAAACTTGAAGAAATCGCCTCTGAAGGATGTCCCACGAACTGCTAAGGCTACTTCCGTCGTTGATACCGGTACCCATGATAAGGATGGTGATGCCGGCAATCTGGTGCCAGAGTCAGAGGATGATACTGATGAGCCTGTAGAGATTATCAAAGGCAAAGAAGTCCACAAAAAGATTGTTAAGAGCAGTGCTTCTGGAGGAACCGAGGCATCTGCCTTGTTGGCTAAGGTAATGGGGTCGGCTGAAAAGAAGAATATGATCATCAAAGATCCTTATTCATCGGAAATGCATGACGACAGCTCTGATGCTGAAGTCATCGAAACTGTGTCAAAGCCTGTTCATCTTTCAGGTGCTTCTCAACTTACTGTTCATAATAGCGAGCAGGCTAGCGAGCTTGAAGACGCCGCGCTTCTTGCACCGAATATCAAGGTTGAGAGGGTTAAATTGACTGACGATGGTGTTGTCCAAGGCAATCAAACTCGTACAAACCGCAAGAAAAAACCACTTTCTATGCTCGGCGTCGAGGGAGCCCCAGCAAGAAAGGCCTGGGAAAATCCTGCTCGTTCTGAATGGTATCGACGCAATGTGTTAGGCTCAGGTTCAGACAACTTTAGTACGATCAATACTGATCCAATGCATACAGATCAAGAATTTACCTTGTCAGACAAGGCTCAGCTTTTATCTTCGGATGACCCGGAGCACCTGAGACAGTCCTCTGTGCCGTGTGTGATTGGAGGCACACCCAAGAAAGACAATTCGGCTCGTTTTAAGTCAGTCGGTGTTGAGGCAAGTGGTCCATCCTGGGAGCCAATGACCCCTCCAGCATCATCAAAGAAAGAAGGTACGAAGCACTTCCACGACTTCGGAGAGGAAAAACGTGTATTATCAGGAAACTTGAATGGAGCAAACCGAATTGAATCAGCGGCTCGTGTTATCATCACTAAAGACAACTATAGTGACAATAGTAGCCGTGAAGCAAGTCCATCAATTGAATTTCGCCAGAGGGTTGCAGAAAGAAAAGCTGAGAAGGCTCTGCAACGTGGTCTAGGACTCAGCTTCGAACAACCAGCCCTAAATTTTGAAAAACCTGTCCCGTCTCTAGAGGCTGACATGATGGAAAGTAATTTCGCTGAGTTCATTTACGACTCTCCCCAGCCTGAAGATACAGAAATGATCGATGCTGTTGAAGGCGAACTTGAGCCAAAGCTGAGCGCAGAAAGATCGACATCGCCTGAGGCTGATCCCCGATCTACAAATACAAAGCAAGATCAAGATTCTATGGACAACGCCTCGCCTTCGCAATCTCAAGATTTTACCGCATCCCAAGACAATGAATATGGTTCTCAAACACCCACAGAAGAGGCCTCACAGAGCGTGCTTGAAGATGTCGCAAAGATGCAAAGAATTGAAAAGGCCAAACGATATCCATCAAGTGCTATCCTTGAGGAAAATGCCAAAAGATCTAACAAATCACGTCAACTCGAAGTCCCATCAGAAATTGACATGATTAGTTCCGACAGCAATGATTTGCCTGCCACAGTCGCGAAGTCTAACAGCAAACTCGATGATACACCTGTCGATATTGGAAACCAACAGGACAGTCGGCAAGATTCTCCTCTCAAGGCTGATGAGTCTAACATAGTAGTTGCCCCAGTTAAGCCAGCCAAACAGCCAAAGGCGAGAGTCCCAGCTGCTGCCAAATCCTCATCTGCTCCAAAGACAAAGTCCACGCCCGTTTCAAAGGCACCAGCTTCTCAGAAGACAAGCGCCACTCAAAAGGCTCCAGCTGCAAAAGTTGAACGCTCTTCAAATGTCCCAGCTCAACCTGAGCTATCTCAAGTCAAGCCAAAGAAGCCAGCCCCAAAGATGCAAAAGGATGTAGGTGGCCCAAAGACAGCAAAAGCTGCAATACCTGCCGTCGCGGAAGAAACCACCACATCTAAGCCCAAGGCTAAAGCCAGGGCTAAGGCCGGAACAAATGAAAAGCGCAAAGCTGATCAAATGACCTCTGCCGGTAGCAGTTCGGGACCAAATAAGACAAATTCATCTCCCGCTTTGAAGCAAACTTCTATCGTTGAACGTGAAACAGCAGCGGCAGAAGCACGTATGCAAGCAGCTACAGGCAAGAAGCGAGCTTTGGAAGATCAGTTGGAGGCAGCCCGGAATATGAAGGTGCAGATGGAAAAAGTATAATTTTAATGCTTCGATTTTGCACCGGCCAAGTGACTAACTTATTTGGCAGGCAAATGAAATCAATAGACAAGCCCAAGCTCTGGAGGAAGAAAATGCGGCATTAGAGGTAAATTCTTTATTCTCTAATGGAGTACCGCATGCTAATTCATGAATTGCAGGCTGAAATTGCGAAAATCTCTGCACAATACGTTGCCTAGCAAGCTTACTTCATCAACTCAAGATAAATTGCCAAAGTGAAGAGCTTGTGATGGAAGGCCGTCTTTCACCATCTTCTACAACAACCATTCTCCCGTTTTCAGAAATGCCTTGTTATTACATCATAGCTCCTTTTTACAACACGTTTTCGCACACTTGCTCTATTGTTTATTCTGAGAACTTCGAAGGAGTTGATTATTGAACGCTCCTTGCTTTATTCCTCCTTTTTCACGGCGATTGATCTTTTAATGACGATACCATATCCGCAATCTTGTTTCCGCAGTTGAAGCCATCGTTTGATACCTAGAGATCATCGTCTTCTACAGCTATCAGATGAAAGCAAAACACCCTAGCACGCTTTCACTGTATCAGAAGTTTACTGAACGGTGTTCCATTGCTATTTTTTACTAATTTTTGACCTTCTTTTCATATGGGCTGCATCTGGTACAGCATTCATCTTTTTTAGGGGGGACTTTCTGGCGGAGTTGATGTCTTTTTGTTCGCGGTGGTAGCATTTGGATTTCGAGCGACCAAACAAATGAGAACAGAAAGGCTAATCTGCATGGCGAGATTTTATGAGATTTTACGGAAAACTGAAATAACCCAGGTAAAGCTGTTATTTAAGACAATTCATTAATATCAATGCATGCTGAACACAAGTGACCTAACGCCTTCCCTGCTAGAACTAATCGTAAACGCTGGGTTCTGAAGTACTGACTCCAGCCTATCCTATTCCCATGCCACAATGACCGATAACTATCGTGACTTCATGACTTTCTTGGGACTCTTAAGTTTACATTTACCCTTTCCAACAACTGCTCCCTGGTGTCTTTGCTTTGTGGGTGGAGATCTCTCTACAAGAAATGGTTAATATCTACGAGTGATATATTTGAAGCAAATGAAGAGAAAAGCTCCAAGGGTACTAACAGCTGCCAACCATCTTCGTAATTCTTCTCTTGACCATGTTGCTGGATCTATTTGTGGATTAGTATCACACCATCAGATGATACGTGAGTCTTTCGTACCACCATTAGGATCTTCTTCCTTTGGAAACATGTCGGTACCCCAAATGGACCATGCTGCAGCTGCAGTCACAATTCCTGTGAAAGCTAATACGGCGTTCTATACATGTTTTAGAGGGATGCTTTGAGTTGGTGGTGAAGAAACTTACTTTGGAGCTTAGAGCTCTATCGAGAGGGGTAGGCATCCTTGATAAGAGGGGGTGGCGTTAACTTGTACTTGAACTTGATACAAACGTTGTACTTTCAAAGTCTTTTCTTCTCCAACACAACTTTTGAATTTACTGTTTGTAGAGTAAAATTTTGATGTGAAAATTCCAAAATCAGACTTTTTGCAAGGGACTTTAAATAGATAAATATTCACAGAGACGTACAATGCTTGCCTAAATATCAGAAACCTGTCCTCCCTCTCAGCCACAAAGCCGCCCTCAATAGTGCGACAAGCCAACGCCACATCCATTGGCCCATGCACATCTTATCAAACAGAAAACCCTCCCATACAATCATAACCGAGTTAGCTTACTAATACGCACACAATCGCGAATTTCCACATCAACAACCTCAATACCACGAAGTCTCGATTCCTGTCATCAATTCCCGATTATTTCACCAATTTTCGACTAATCAATCTGTCAAAATGCCTCGCGAAATCACCGACATCAAATCCGTGAGTTATATCCTAATGAGCTGCGTTTTGAGGATGGGAATGAGGGATGAGGAATTAGGAACGGATAGACTGAAAGGACTTTTGGGTTTGAGTTGGTACGGATGCTAATGTTGAATTGCACAGTTCTTGGAGATTTGCAGACGCAAGGATGCTTCCTGTATGTTTTTATCTTTCTATTCTATTCTAGCATGGCCTTACACGAATTATCTTTGAACTCGAATATGGAAAAGTTTCATCGGCATTTGAAAATGGGCAATTGAAGAACGGATGAACTTCCGGGATGGGATGCCGCGATCGACGAAGCTACAGAAAAGACTAACATAGTATACAATAGCCGCCCGCATAAAGAAGAATGTCGGAAAGACCAGCTCCATCAAGATCAAGGTCAGATGCCAAAAGTACTTGTACACCCTTGTCCTTAAGGATTTGGAGAAGGCCGAGAAGTTGAAGCAAAGTCTTCCACCTAGTACGATTTCCCCTCACTTCACGTCAGGCCAGGACACTACTAACACGAGCTTTAGACCTCACCATCGCCGATACCCCAAAGAAGAACCAAAAGGGAAAGAGAATCGCATAGATAGTTGAACAGTGGGGTTAGATTACGGATTCAAGCAGTGGATGAGACAATACAGACATTGATTGATTGCACATTCGAAATATATTGAGCATGATCATGTTTTTTGCCGTTGGCAAGATCGTGATGTGATATCCTGCTTTTGTCCTATGAAAATAGGGTGAAGTAGATTGAGAAAATGAAATAAGCCTTCGGAATCCAATTTTGGCATCTGATCGCCGAGATTTGTGTGTGTATGTGTGTGTGGAAGAGATGTGAAATTTTTACCAACCATATTAGGCATGTCATAGTGAACTACATCCAAGGTTTTGCATTTCTTTCTTGAAGTCAAGATGGTAATGCCAAGGTGCTCGTACATCTTTTACTCTATTTCTCCTATTTCAACACTATTAAAGTGCATAGTAGTAGGATATCAAATATACAGAATGTTAACATCCGCTCTGCTTGATTCCACCTTCACCCACCCATTCCCTTGATGACATTCAGATGATCAGCGATTCTGCGGCTATCATCTAGCTGCTCCAATACATACAAAATATTCGTGAGAGATGAACCCTGAGGTCTGATTGAACACTACGGATAAGAATCAAAATTGGGCATCTGATTGTATGTCTTTATTGTGACAAAGAGATATTGCCGGTCTTTGTTACCAAAATATCGATTACAATGAACTCTATGTGTAGCATCAATTTTATCTTTCAACAGCCATTGATCTCAATCTATTCTTTGAACAATCAAGCGTCTTTGTTTCCCTCAACATATATCCATCGACAATCCTATTGTCTATCCCCTTCCTCACGTTTTTTCATAAATAATTTTGCTTGCCAAACCTTAGTCTTTTCTGCATTATTTTGACACTACTATTCTTGCATTCATTCTAAGCAGAAACACACTTCATACTCAAGACGCAGGTCGTCATTTTACAAGCAACATCAAGGAGACGCTCATTCATAATTCCTTTCATAGACGATATTGGGCAGGCCCAACTTTGCTATTCATTCATTTTAAAAACAGTAAGTTAAGTTTTCTCTCCTATAATCACAATGACAATCGACGATTGTCATCTTAATCCCTACGCAGCACGTCGGGTACTCTGGGCCGGTGACCGCGCCCACATTCCTCTTCAGCCCCTCTGCTGTACTTACTCTCAAGCTGCCGACCTAATCGCCGACAACATAACCAATGTACTACAAGGAGCCACCGGTCATCCCCCTCATGATCCCTTCCAAAAAGTCAAACAAAATTGGAATAGATCCGGCCTGTCCGACTTAAAAAACATCATCAAAAGTCCCTGGTTAAAAGGTAAGACAGAACAAGACCTCCTAGATCTCTATTTCTCTTATTTCAACGTCATGATCTTTGGAGGAGCTCTAAATACTCTTAGATGTACCATGAAACTCGAAGAGCCAAACCCAGAACAAAGGGCACAATTTGTCTTAGGAACAACAGTCGATAAGAGGACCGAAAAAGACACGACGAGACATAATATTCGTTGTCATATTAGTGTATTTGTACGATATCCCGCCCCGAAAAACGAAGCCGAATCAGTTACTCTCCTGAAGAATTATCTAGGGACCTTGTTGCATGAAATGGTTCATGCTTTTTTTAGTATCTACGTATGTAAATGTAACGCCTTCTGTCGGGGAAAAGCACTCGATCTCGAAGAAAGTGGTGTAACGGGACATGGAACCCCATGGCTGAGAGCAGCACGCAGTATTGAGGGATTTGTACGACAGAGACTTAGAATGGATATTAGATTGGGTAGGGAAGAGGCGCTAGGATTGGAATTGATAGTTGGGAATAAGGAGATTTGGTATGTAGATTTAGGGGAGATGGGGATGGATCGGGATACGGTGGATAGGGAGATGGATTGGTTTGCGCAGGTATTTCTTGATGATTTGGAGGAGAGGAAGAGGATTGAGAGGGAGAATGATGAGAGATTGGAGAAATTAGAGAAGGAGAGGTTACTGAGGGAACGGAAGGAGAAGGAAAAGAAGGATAAAGTGGAAAGGGAAAGACCGGCTAGAGAAGCAAAGGAGAAGAAATTACAAAGGGATGTTAAGATTGCGATTCTTAAGGATTTGAGAAAGAAAAGTATACGTGGTAATTGGAAGGTTTTCAAACGTAGCGGTAAATCGCTTCGTAGACATGTTACTCAACCAACTCCACAACCAGACGATTTATTGACGCTTCTTCAAGCGGCTGCTTTGCCTTTACCTCTTTCTCCGCCTCCTTCTCCACCACGTTCTCCACCCCCTCCAGCTCCACCTGGTCATCAACCAGTCGACCCCCTCGCTCAAGCAGCTGCTGTACCTCTACCACCCTCTCCGC